TCGAGAAGCAAATATTGCGTCCGCTATCGGGCCACTCTCCCAAATCAGAAACGTGAGCGAGGTTTTGCATGACCTGGGCCACGTCCGAGAATCCAGTGCGCTAGCTGATGTGCTTCGCATGTGCAAGCAACCGCATGACCTCGGAGGGTTGGGTCTGGACGATGAGAGCGACGTGACAGCGCAGCAAGAATCAGAAATTCTGTTCCTCGTGTCTGCCTGGCTGGAAGCGCTAAATTCAGCGGATCGGTCCAGATCGATGCCTGCTCCGCTGCCATCAAGGCCTCCAGGTCGGCGTGGGATGACTCTGAGCGAGAAAATCTTTGCGTTGCACGACGTTGCTCATAGGGGCTGGGTGGCCCCAGGAGATTTGATTCGGGTCGATGTCGATTGGGTGATTGCGTCGGAGGCATCATGGGCCGTGAGGATTCACCATATCATGATCTCTTTCTCCGCCGCTAAGCCAGTTCATCAGGGCATGGAGACTACGTACAACAACCTAGGCAAGCCTGGGATTCATCGCAACGATCGTTTCTGGCTTGCCGGTGATCATGTCGTAGATCCCCGGATCAGAGACGTTCCGAAAGTTCGCGCGCTGATCCATGCAAGTGAGAGGGCAAAGCGAGTGTTCAAAATGACCGAGTACCAGGGAATGAACGTTGGTCAAGGATAATCCTCAACTCCAGGGAGAAGCTAACATGGTTTAGTATACTATCCTCCACACCGAGTTCTACAGGGAGCGAGCGCAACCTGGCATGCTGATCATTGGCTCCGACTCACATACGTGCTCCTCTGGTGCATTGGGTTGTCTGGCAATTGGACTCGGGGCAGCAGATGTGACTCTGCCCTTAGTAACAGGAGAAACGTGGTTCAAGGTTCCCGAGTCCATCAATATCCGCCTCTTGGGTGTACCTAAGCCTGGAATCGGTGGAAAAGATGTTATACTATACATTTTGCAGCAGTTGAAGAGGAATACTGTCGCTTCTGATAGGATCGTCGAGTTCTCTGGTGCCGGTGCGCAGTATTTGTCTGCTGATGCTCGGTTTGCTATTTGCAACATGACCGCGGTATGTCAATGCAGCTTCAAGCCGTTATGCTTTGCTTATTGAAAAAGGAACTCGGTGGTATCACCGGGGTATTCGGGCCTGATCAAATCACGCGCGACTTCGTGGCCAAAAGACACTTACAGCGACACAAAAATCTCACCACGTACTTCCGACCCGACAACGATGCGCAGTACGCCGCAGAACTCGACATTGATCTCGGAAATGTCCAGTCATTCTTTGCTCGATACCCCAGACCAGATGATGTGGTCCCTGTCTCGGATTATGAACGAATGCGATTGGACGGTTGCTTTATTGGAGCTTGCACCACAACCGAGGAGGACCTCATCCTTGCTGCTCTTGTGCTGGAGCAAGGGCTGAAGAAAGGTTATCTGCCGGTTAAGCACGGCAAGAGGAAAATGGTCCCGGGCTCATTGCCGATCCTGCGCAAACTACGCGAATTGTGCCTCACCGACATCTACGAAGCGGCGGGTTTCGAGATTGGGGTACCAGGCTGCAGCTATTGCGTTGGGATGTCGGCGGATCAGGCAGCTCCAGGAGAAGTCTGGCTCTCATCCCAGAACCGGAACTTTGAGAATCGCATGGGCAAAGGTTCGTATGTGTGGCGCTTAACAGCATTCTTTAGCTGAATATGGCAATGCAGGGTCAATAGGGCATCTAGGCTCTGCCGCAACTGTCGCTGCATCATCATTCGAAATGAAATTGGCCGATCCTCATGACTTGCTTTGTGAGATCGATTGGGAACGATGGATATCCTTCCACGGGACTTCCGAACTGACAGCGAAGACGGGCGCGGCTTCTCATCTGACCTATGTTGAGCCAAGCGGCTCTCGTGCTCTCTCTCAGGAGAGAACTGAATCACGTATTTTCTCCGGATACACGCAAGAACCTTCCCTTCCTAAAACCCTAAGTGGCAAGGTCCAGCTGCTAGGGGATTTCATCGACACAGACGCGGTACGCTCAAACAACTACACGTGTTCTTGTGCTGGGCTAACTTAACTGAAAATATCCATAGCTGGCACCGGCTGAATTCTTGGTCGACATGAAATCCAATGAGCAGAGTGGTCACCATTGCCTGCAATACACCCATCCCCAGTTCCGTCAACGAGCCAAAGAAGGTTTCAACATCGTTGTGGCTGGTCAAGCCTTTGGCTGTGGATCATCACGCGAACAGGCCGTCATGGCATTGCTTGGTATGGGGTTATACTCTCACACATATCTCCTGCTAATGAGCGTTCTCCAAGGTTGCGGTATCAAATGTGTGGTTGCGAAATCCTTCGCCTTTATCTTTCAACGGAACATGCCGAATCTCGGTCTCTTGGGCATTACCATGCCCGATGAGTCGTTCTACGCCGCCACCAAGGATGGCTCCGATATATCGATTGACCTCCAGGCGCGCGTCATTGAGGCTGATGGACTCAGATTTGGATTTCAGTTGAGTCAGATGGAACAGGAACTGTTCCGCCACGGTGGCATTACTTCTGCTTTTCGAAGATTCGGTAACAGACTGTTCGAGGAGCTCACAGCGGCAAAGAACGTTGGGGCAAGTCAGGAGGAGAAAGTTTGTCATCCACCTAGCGCGCTGCAATGGTGATGATGACTGTCTTGAATATCTGGGCTGTGGTGACCTACGCTTTGATATGGCTCCCTGTCTGTGACATAGATTCTTTACGTGTCTTCTCAGCTAGCGACCAACTCTTTACTTCTACACTGTATGCTAGTAGAACCAGTATGTCTTCCGAGGTGCCAAGTGTTGCTGAACTTGCTTTTTGCTAATGTATCACCACTGATGTATCTCTCATCCATAAGTGTTGCCAGTCAAGTAGTACCCTACCCTGTAAATGCTGATGCCTGATGCAATAATCATTGTGCGTTGAGCTCCGGGGTTGTTGCATGTCGCTTGACTTCGAGTCCATGGCACAACTCACCAGTTGCTGATTCAGGCAGCACTATGCCGAGAGATCGTAGGGCAGTGAGCCACAGCAGTCACTAGGTAGTACACTTTAATATCTCCTGCCAGACATTACCCTTGATATGAATCCTGCAATATCAGAATGCCACCCTAAACTCTGATGGAAAGACTGCGCAAAGGTATCTTTTTCCTGAAGCTCTTGAGGGATTCGGAGAATGAATATGAAGTATGTTCCCATATAGTGGATCTTCAGACATGAACCGTCAAAGTAAATGAAGTTCCTCCTGAGTTCTTCTCGCTGACAATTTCTCCCACGTGTTTTCGGTGCATTTTGCCCCTTGTCTCGCCCATCTTATATATTTGAACCTGTCTACAGCCCTAAGAGCAGCTAAGACAGTGCATTGGAACCTGAAAGTATCTATTCCTTTCCCATTTCTGTTATCGAGGGATAGCATTCAAGAGGAGGGCGGGAAGCATGGGTATTGCCGCCCAATACACTGGACACTATTCATGATATGACTTTCTTGAGCTTCTCCTTCGTCAGGATTGAATCTCTTGCTGAGTTCAAGAGTTGTTCTCCACTAACTCTGTGGGTCGTTCCAAAGACCACTCGGTGAAATGATCCTGAGTTGTTGTCGGGTATCGGATCTGTTCAGCCAATCAACAGTCGTCGATGACATCCTTTGTAGAATCAATACATCTAATGAGGATTTGCAGAATATGACATTGGCCTTACTTCACAACAGTTCATGAATTCAATAACTTTCGGTTGTTGATATCTATTTCTAATATCAAACTTGATCCCTATGTGGTCAATAAATCGCTTGACCCCGAGAGTCATCAGAAGAGCCACTCCGACGCTTGTCCCATCCTCTTTCATCAGCATTAGAATGACACACTCTGGCACAGTGACACTATCTGAGGTCAAACATGACCATATACCGACCATCCAACCCTCTTTCAGGTCGCTGGCCATACCAGAAAGTGAAGATGACCCGAAAATCCGTGAGAAATATCGCCCCTTTCTTCTGAATTCACAGCAAGCGGCCGAGGATTGGGCAAATCGCTTGGAACTCGATACCGTGCTGGACATGGCCGAGGAGGATCTCAAGGCGACTCAGAAACGTATCAAGGTTTTGGTTTTGTACGGTTCGCTGCGGAAGAGGTATGGATCTGTTGACGCGGAGTAATCCTTTCAACAATCTGGGGCTGACATTGTCGGCAGATCGTACTCGAAGCTTGTGGCCTTCGAGGCTAGTCGAATCCTCTTTCGACTCGGCTGCGACGTCCGAGTGTTTAACCCAGAGGGCCTACCGGTCAAGAACGACGTCGAGCACGCGCACCCCAAAGTCCAAGAGCTGCGCGAACTGAGTACATGGAGCGACGGTCATCTCTGGGTGTCCCCCGAGCAACACGGCAACCTGGTAAGCTCTTCATCAACAGGAGTCTTCTAGAGCACTACTGATCCTTGCAGACTGCTGTCTTTAAGAACCAGATCGACTGGATTCCCTTGACTACCGGCAGCGTTCGACCCACTCAAGGCCGCACCCTGGCCATCGCCCAAGTATGCGGTGGCTCCCAATCGTTCAACGCCGTCAACTCGCTTCGGATCCTAGGCCGATGGATGCGCATGTTTGTGATCCCGAATCAAAGCTCCATCCCAAAGGCATACACGCATTTCCCGGATGCCGGTCAACCGGGAGACTATCATCTCATGCCAAGCGGAAACCGGGATCGCTTGGTCGACTGCATGGAAGAGTTCGTCAAGTACACTATCTTGATGCGGCCTCACCTTGGTCTCTTTGCGGATCGATATAGTGAGCGTGAGGAGAGGCGACTGAAACAAGCGAGGCAGGCGGCTTAAAGCCTGGTCTGGCTGGTATAGAGGGAGGATAAAGTTACAGCCGAGCTCAACATGTAACATAGACATAGACCTTCGACTCGTTGTCCTTGGTATCACCAAGGAATATGCCCGAGCGGCAGCCGAACGAATGTAGTCCAGGAAACATTAAGCCAGCAGCCCCGACTTAGAAAGCAGCAAACGCGCTGACTGTCGCAAAGGGCCCTCCACACTCATTTACCCGGACCGCTGCCGTAGGATGCTCCGTCGTCAGGAATTTGGCGAGAGAGAGCGTGAGGAAGGAGAGTGTTAGAAAGAACAAGACCTGCAGGATCGAGACGTTGGTCCGCAATGCAGCGACAAAGAACACTATCGTCAGGAAGCACCATAGAATCAGGTAGATCCCAAGGGCAAACGTGTAAGCGCGCTCATCGCCCTTGTAGGCCCCTTTTATATCGAGCAACGGGATCAGGAAGATGGCATAACTGAGCCAAAAGGCACCGTATGAACAATGCACTGTGCTTCCAAACGTGTTGCCGACGCGAAACTGCATGATTCCCGCGACGAACTGGGCGGCTCCTCCCATGAAGATTGCCAGGCCAATACAGCTTGATTCGGTCCAGCATCACCGCTAGGATCGGAATGAGGTAGTCTGCCGATTCAACGAGTGCTGAGCAACCAGACAAAGCAGTAGCAGAGATGGATAAACAAGTGACCTACCAACTCCATATTCGTAAAATCCCAGCACAAACGTCCTAATGGCGAAACTCAACAGCCCTAGCGGCCCCGGGTTGGCCAGCTTCATGTACGGAGGCACCGGCACATGGGACAATGGCGGCGCATCGCAAAGGGATTGCCTCCAGATTGCAAAGCTTCGCCGAAAGCTGTGCTATCATCTACCCGGATCCAGCCCGTCGCGGTGCCTTCGGTGTTGTTTCCGGTCCTTCTGAGACAGACTCGTAGACCTGTTCCTGAGACATGGTTGGAGAGTGCTATTTTGGTGGCAGTCAGGGAGGGCTACCGTATGTTCAACACCGTTCGATCCATCCTCGTCGCAGGATACGATCTCCTATCTCTTATCATCGATCTCATCAGCAATGTCTAAATTTTCCATTTCGGCTCAATGTTGCATTCCCTTGCAACATTGACGGTGGTGATGTCATCGACATGTCTAAACAGTCCATCGCAATTATCCAGAAATGATCATGATCTCTTACCCACGTACGGTAGGACTACGTCTCCTAAGAAATAATCTCTCTGCATATTTGAGTTGTGGAAGACTGGTTACTGCAACATGGCTCTGAAGGACATTCATCCTGCACCTCAGACCCTACGCTCGTTGGACGCTGCTCTACAGGAAGCAACAGAACTTGAATATAACAAAATTAATGAATGGTAAATCACGAATTAATTGGATCAAAATTACTGGTATCTCTCAAAAACATGGACAGACAAATTAAAGTACAATCACCAATCGTCAGTTGTCGCCCCCGGATCCCTGCAATCACGACCCCTGTTCTTTGCTGGAAGAGCCTTTCAGCCAGTTTCCAGCACTCTGAAACCCTCCAGAAATGGAATTTCCCACCGTCTGTGCCCCAGAGGTGACACTCTGACCAGCACCCTTGGCCCGGTCCACCACGGGGTCTGTGACGCCGCCGAGCGGACCGCCATAGGAGCCATTCTCGTCCTTACCATTTCTCTCTGCGCGGTTGATCCCTTCTTTGGAGGCCATGTTCCCGACGGGAGCAAGAAATCCGTTCTCCCCCAGCTGGTTGCCGACCAGATTGTGGACGTCGTCTTGTACTTGGTCGACCTGTTTGATGCCGGTGACTTTGGACTTGGAAAGGGTATCTGATCGGAGCTCGCAAATTAGTCCATCAGGCACTTAAGAAACACAATGCTCCAATATCGATCGAGGAAGGGAACATTGTCTTACCTTTTGTGACATATGAAGCCTTGTTATCGCCCTTGCCGAACCATTTTAGGTACTGCTCCTCGAGCCACGGCATCCACTTCTCATATTGGTCATTGTATGCCTCTTTCACCCATTCGCTGTAGGACTGCTTCTTCTTCTGGTCCTCGGTGAGGTGGTCATAAAAATGTCGCTTTTGCTCGTCCGTATGGGTCTCACCACCGGTTTTCTTGTTGAGGTTGTCCATGGTTGTTGCTGTATTCGATGGAAATATGGGCTTCTTCGAGTCAGCGCTAAAAGAGACGAAGAGAGGGATTTGTTTTAAAGACAAGATATTTTCGCAAGATAGAATCGCGATACCCTTCTATATAGACGCTGATTTGGGTGTGGCTGGCTTTCAGCCACATGGTGATCCAGCACCATGACGTGTGTGGATCTTCATCTGAATCAATCACTGCTCGACCCCTGCGGGATTGCGTACTCACAAGGCCAAAGCTCATTTATTTCCTTTCGCATCAAGGACGGGATCTCGTTGGATCTCTTACTTATCAAAAGGTCACCACAGATCGGATGCATTCCCTGCACGCGGGCCCCTGACGTCATCGAGGCCTGCTTCTCTTGAATATCTTGAAAAAGACCACATTTGGTGATATTATATTGATACACACAAGATCTTACTTCTAACCGAAGTTGATCGGTTTAAAATGCCATAGTTTATGTTGACTTGGCGTTGTTGTAGCTGAATAATGCAGAGAGGAGCGCAATATTCATGGTGCTGTTGGTAAAGTGCAATTCGCATGCCGATCAGGACTTTATTTTGTTGGAGACCTTCAACTCCAAGGGCTAACAGTCTTCAAGAATGCTTTTCCCCATCGGCGAGGTCCCTGACTTCTCGGTCCCACCAAGCTCCTCCCAAGGGTAGTAGTGTTTTCTGGCCTCGAATACAGCGCGCAGAGGAGAAGGAAGAATGGTATGAACGTTTACATCCCCTCACTATCTCGATGATGAATTATAGTCCTTGAATAGCCAAAATCTGGGCGGTCCGAGCGACAATGTGAGATTCATTGAACTCTGGACATCTGCTACCCTAATAGGATATCTCAGAAGACCTGTTTGCTCTTTTTCAAACTGGTATTGCTCCAGACAGGCCAGCCTTGGGAACAGACAGTTTTGGGGAGTGAGGACTGGGAATACGGGAAGAGTACCTCGCCATGTGAGCCTGGTCAGGGGCACATTGACAGCTACAGAGTTTATTTGATGAGCCTCATGCTGTTGCTGCTACCTCAGCCTATCATTGACTACTCTTGTGCCAACATATATGGATAACTAGGATATGCATACGAGTTGCTCCACCTTTACGAGTGCAATGAATTTTGCTGCCTTTACACCAATCACTTTGCGTGATGCATCTTCCGAGATATAAATACACCTCGAATACGAACACCGGAGATCACTGATATGTCTGCCAAGACAGCATTATTGCCTGTTTAGGCTGCATTCTGCGGGCTCTATCTCCTTGTCCTCCCAGCTTCGAAACATACATCTGGTGAAGCAATTATTATCGTATATAAGTCTTCTCCCGGAACGCAACATGGGAGGATCAGAACATCATTCCTTCTCTCATTTTTACTACCACTTCTTTCCTTCACTCCTTGATCATAATGAGATTCCTTCCTTGGGCTGCTGCCATTCTCTCGGCTGTCTGCGTTCAGGCCAATGAATGGCACGCCTATTACCGGCTGACTTCAGACGCATATCAAGCCAAGTTCAATGATCTTGTGGGCCAAGGCTACCGCCTGAATTCCGTCAGCGGTTACGAACGCAACGGCCAGCCTAACTTCGCCGTTATTTTCGAGAAAAAGTCATCTGCGGCCTGGAAATCTCACCATGGCATGACTTCCGTCGCCTACCAAAAGAAATTCGACGAGTATCTCAGCCAGGGATATCGTGTCGTCCAGGTTAATGGCTACACTGTCGGCGACAATGCTTACTATGCTGCCATCTGGGACAAGTCTCCTTCCGCCGGCTGGGTCACTCGTCATGGAATGACGGTAGACTCGATGCAGAAATACTTCGACGAGTACCTGAAACAGGGCTACAAGCTCACTCATATCAGTGGCTACGAGGTCAAGGGCGAGGAGCGCTTTGCTGCGATCTGGGAGAAGAAGAACGACAATATCGCCTGGCTCTCCTATGCCAACATGACCTCTGCCGAATATCAGTCGCGCTTTGACAACTATGTGAAGGACGGATACTGCCTAATCGACGTCGATGGTTATCAGGTAGACGACCACGTTTACTATGCGGCCATCTGGGACAAGTCGGCCTCTGGTGCCTGGGTCGCCCGGCACGGATTGGATTCACCAAGCTTTCAGGCGGCATTCGACAAGTATAAGAAGGAGGGCTATGTCCTTCGAGCTTTTAGCGGGTACAACTCCGGGAAGGAGGATCGCTATGCTGGTCTTTGGATAAAGCCATAGATTGCTTTTTTGTGTTGTTGGGACTATCTCATTATCAACTCGATGGCATATAGTGGCAAACCTGTAATATAGATAAAGTTTAAACCGTGCATCACCACTAGGATATACCTTCGAATACAATAAAGTGAGGAGCTGGGAAGCAATTCAATGTTTCTCTTGTGATCGCATACATGATCCTGGTCTCGAAATATATATCCCTGAGGTGGTAGACTATACCATGATTACTCTTTAATGCTGGTGGAACTATTTCTCTCTAATTTCACAAAGACAAGTAAGAGCATATAATTGAGCGACTGATTAGAAATCATTCAATGTGTATTTAGAGAATATCCAGCCATTCATTGTTGGTTGAGAACCACTAGGTGTGCATGGGAGCAAGGCAGCTATTTGCATTGAGTGCTACTATATAGCAATAATTTTCTATTATTTCAACAATTGCCTCTATGGTGTAGTTGGTTATCACGCAGGTCTCATATCACATGACTCTTCTGTCAACAGAAGGGATGTTCCTGAAATCCTGAGGTCTCCAGTTCGATCCTGGATGGAGGCAAGTTTTTTTTCTTTTCACTCTCCTGTTTTTCATTTCCGCCTACCTTCTGTCCCAATCATCCTCGTTAGTCTTTCTCAGTATGCTACTATATATATAGAAAAAAGGAAAACATGAATTATTGACTAACTGTAGGTAAAATCGAGATGCCGACTGATACCAGCAATCTAAACAAACAATTGATATGGACTGGAATCAAAAGAGACATCGACTCGCGGTACAGTTTGTCTTCATACTAGCCTCCGCAGACTCCCTCATGAGTCCCCAAGCCACAGGCCGATCACGGGATCTCCTTCTTATATGCAAGGATGTATCTCTGGTCCTGCCATTCCGTCACAGTGTACCACTCCTTCTTTGCCTCATTGTAGCTCAGATCCTCATTACCTGGAGGGAAGTAGCTCGATCCAGTGGCTGCCTCTCCGGGGGTCCATGTGAATAGATCACCGCCATTGTTCTGACCATTGCTTCTTCCCAGGTAGAAAGTGTCATTCCGAGAGAATCCGCCCTGCATGCGAAGAATATTGACGCAGTATGCCCAGGAAGCGGTTGCTACCGTAGAGCCGGTCTTGCGCAGACGGCGTGTCGTATAGTCCAGAGGATATTTGACCAGACGGATGGGAGTCGAAGTGTCATCGGTCTGATACTCGCCGATCAGCAGAGTGTCGGGCGAATCAAGACGATCCAGAGCGACCCAGGAATGCCGGAACTGAGAGTCTGGCTGGAGCTCAGTCCAGCTGTACACTCTACCAGCGTTATTAGCATCTTCTCCTCTGGGATGTGCACACAACGGAGAAACTCACCTCGTTTGAGGAAGGACATAGGCATAATTGGCTGCTGAGTACCCGCCTCCAGCCATCTTACCGATCCCATCGCCAGTCTCGACCTTCCATATGTTGTCCATGTCGAAAACCCGCAGGCCATGGCTGGTATCTACCACGTACAGAGCATTTCCGTACCAAGCAATGCCACCCGCATGGATCGGCACCGACTTGAAGTTATCGGCAGCGCTGGGTTCCACCAGCATGACGTGGCGGTACTTGTGAGTCGCGCGGTCCACAAAGCTCACGCGAACATTGGCATCGCCTTCCTTTTGGTACCAGCTGACAAGCCAGACGTCCTTGTCCTCGTATGTCCCGACGGCCAACGCATCACCGGAGCTGGTCATTCCTTGCGGAACCCACTTGGTTGTGGACTCGTCGCCAGAGTTCCAGAGCCAGCGCTCCGACATTGGGTAGGCGACTGTGCCCTTTTGCAAGTGCCGATTCGCGTCGGCCAGAACCTGGGTGACCGTAACCTTCTTGCCGGCATCGGCGAAGATCTTGGACAGCGCTGGGAGGTACTTGTTGTCCGTCTCATTGAGTGTAAAGTAGGACGGGTTCAGTACTTTGGTATCGCCAGTACATGCCCTCGGGTCTGCGTAGACCGATGTAAGGAGAAGAAAGGGAAGAGAGATGGAGATGGTGCGGAGCAGATTCATCCTGGCGGCTCTGTAGGACGTGACTGGCGGTCAGGATGCAGATATTCCTCCAACATCCCGTCCTGCGGCCTTCTCATCGAGGAGATATATTTATCCTATGTGTCGTTTAATGATCGGCATGCCCTCTTCTGCAGCTCATCAACCGATACGAGGCTTGGCAGGTCCATAGATCAATAAGAAGTGCAAGATTCATGGCGTGGAGAAGACAGGGGTAATGAATGACCCGAATCATGAAATACCAAGACATTTTACGAGTTCTATACCCATCTCAATGGCGGAGGATTATTATTATTGTTGCATCTTCCCGCAGCCGAAGGAATGAAACTCGTATTTCCCTGCGAAAATGGTGATTTCTGCGGGACACTGCAGCGGGGCAAGATCCACGCTTTCAAGTTTCAAGACCAAGGAAATGACATGAAGCTCAAATGGAATGGTAGTCTGCTCGATATCCTGGGACATCCAAAGAAACTGGAATAACCTCGAGCGATCCGATCCTTAAACACAATATATGGCTTCGATCTGGATTGACAATAGTTTTAAGGCATTAAGGCATCAAGGCAACTGTGGAGGCCGGAATATGGCACTATCTCTAATCATGTGACTATCAGCATGTGACTCCAGAGCTCAAGCATAAATGAGTCATGTGCTTCCGCGTCAACCAATCATGCAAGGCAGCCGAGGAGGTGTATCCCAACACAGAGAGACGAGGAGACCACAAAGTATACTGTATATCACCCCGACCATGACTTAGAGCGAACAAACCTGTCTTGCCATGTCGCACCAGGCGCAAGACTCAAATGCGACCGTGTCAAGTGCATTGCCCTCGGGAAACATGCGCCAGAGGTCTCGACAGGCATGCGCCCCCTGCCGCCAACGCAAAAGAAAGTGCAATGGGCAATTTCCATGCTCGACATGCACAGGCTATGGATATGATTGCCGGTTTCTGGATGACTCTGTGAAGCCTGTCAAAAGACACGCAGACCCGGTTTCTTCGTACCCACAGCCCTGTACAAAGACTGCTCGTTTGTCGGTGGCAACAGAAACAAACCTGGAAGACAAATCGGTAGTCTCTTCTTCCTCTCATGGGATCCTTGAGCCTTCGAAACTCAGGTATGTGGCTCGACATTCATCAGTTGCTTTTCCCATGACGGTCGGACTGGAGATGCAGGCCGCGAATCCTCCACGCCTGCACTCTTTTGCGTACAACCCTGGAATTCGCACAGAGCCCAGCTGTGGTGTCTCCTTTGACTTGACTGCCTTTATCTCATGGGATAAGGTCCGAAGTTTGATGGATGTGTACACGTCGACTGTCCATCCGGTGTTTGGACTGCTGGACATGGAGCGGCTGTACCACCGATGCGAGGAGCACTGGCACGGGAAAGCACAAGGCCTGGGCCTGGAGGCGCTGATCAGCGGAGTCATTGCCCTCGGCTCGCTCTTTTCTGGTTTTCTCGACGAAGACAAGGAGATGAGAATCGTGCTGCATGCGAAGGAGGTCCTGGAAGATGCGTCGGTCAGTCGGGCGCCCTCCATTGACAAGATCGCCGGGTGGATCTTGCGTACCATCTATGTGCGAGCGACCAGTCGGCCACACTCGGCTTGGTTGTGTAGCTGCACCACGATGCATCTTGTTGAAGCCACTGGCCTACATCAGCCATTAGACGCGGTCATTCTGACCACCGGAGCTAGTGGCAGAAAGGCCCTGGAGGATATCATTGAGACTCGGGACCGTATTGCCCAGGTAGCTCAGTGTTTGAATATAATTATAGCCTACGATTATGGACGGTCTGTGGTAGACCTTGGCTTGTCATGGAAGAGAGGCTCGAGGTGCGATGCACCATCCAATGACTTAACACCACAGTTTTTTGGTCTGGTCAGAGCTTTTCCGCTTGACAACAATGCTGACCTGGCTGCGAGGCGGGATGAGTTGGCCATGGGGCTCGAGAACGTGGTCAAGGTGTCGGTTGAGCATGACTTTTTGATATTAGTACGAGCAGACCTTGCATTTTGTATCTACCGCCGAATTCGACTTCTAGACTCTGCACCGCCTCAAGAACAGCTTGATCGAGTCATCGAGGTCGGTCGTTCCGCATTACCTTCTGCCCGGCGACTGGTGGCACAGAATCATCCGTGGTGGAATGTGGTTGGTACTGTCTTCCAGTTCATCTGCGTTCTTGTCGCCATCGATACAACCGAGAGTCTGGAGAGAATCCCGGAAGCCATGGAAAGCTTGGAAATGATCGCACAACGATTGAACACGCATTTGGGAAATGAAGCGCTTTACGCGGCACGCCATCTCATCAATGCGTCATTGGAGAAGAAGCGAAAAGGCGTCTCGATCCTCGAGCGGGTGCCGGGAATCTCTGCACCAACTGACTCTGATCGCTTGGGAAGACAATGGCTCCCTTCAGATTCGCTGCTGGATTCCTTTCAGCAAACACCTTCGATCGATATGGACTTTCTTCTCGGTATGGACTTGCTGCTTTGATGACATGTCGTCTCCGAATGCTACTATTCCGACTTTGATTCTGCACTATCGGCCTCGACTCTGCAGTCTGATTCGGCAACAGTCGACACACACTGTCACGATGAGAATGATGCGGAGAATCCTTGCCTGGTCAGCTGGGCGTCGAACACTGAGTAACTGTTCTTACAAAGCCGCGAATGCCGCATATGCAGGATTCCATGCCCAAAGTTCTCCCGGCGTCATTGGACGCGAGAAGGCTGGCGCCCACCAGTTGAGCAATGCTGCGGGCAGCGCCAGAAGTGCTAAGACGTCTAGCGTTAACAGTGCACTTGCCGGTAGTCGTGGGACTGATCGATTTCTGTTGGAGACGGGGACGATATCTGCCAGATCCGTGCAGATCGCCCAGCATGCCTAGAGGATGAGCTTCAGCTGGATGATCCATCAAGGAGAAGGACTCACTGCCACATATGCTGCCGGTATGTTCGTATGATATACTACGGAAAGGTAGATGAGTAGTATCAAGAATACTGAAGATGCGGCACAGGCAGACCCTCGCAGCAGTAATTGGAATATCGCACTGGGCCGGGGGAGTCGCGGTCGGGTTGGCATTGCGCGGGATTATGCCTTAGCTGTCGGACGAGCATGTCCGAGGCGATCGCGCTGCGCTTATATACAGGGTAGCTTTGGAATTGCCTATTTGCCAAGGAGGTCAATGTCAATGCGAAGGGGCTTTGATTGAGTCCAAGCGATGTCTAGTTCACAACGGACTGTCTTGGCCAGACTCGCCACGATCGGAGGCGCTATCGAGGCCAATAGAGGTCCGCTTCAGAGCACAATATAACATCGCTAAATCAATCAAGCTACCTGGTGATACGCCAGATTTCACAGTAATTGCGGTTGGCCATTGCCTTGTAGATGTGAAGCTGTTTGATTCCTATTGGAGCCTTCACCCCAGGTCCTTCATTGAGAACATGGAAGACTATCGTACAGCTCACCAAATCCAAGAAGCCAGTACGTACTAGAACATTTTTTCGAAAACATCCTCATCGCGATCCAACGCGTCCGCTTCCTTGCGTAACACGTCTGCTCTGAATCTCCGGAATGCGTTCTCGATACGTTTTCTTCGTTCAGGGTCCGCTGCAATGCTGCGACTTCCACTGGCTGCTCCGGCAAAGAAGCCTGAAAGAGGAAAAAAGGTTAGCGATCATCATTGTGTCTTTTGTACAAGTATTCCACCAGGCATACCCAGCTCTCCGCCCAAGAAGAGCCCACCCGCCGAAGCAAAGAAATATGTCGCAAAGTCTCCAAGAGTTGTCGGTTTCAATAATGGGGTGATATCAGGAATCGCTTCTGTTTCCCTGTTAGCAAATACAATATCTTTATCGTCGGAACGAGGAATCTCGTACCAGTTCGACCATCCGAAAACACCACCTTTGTGGGTTTCTCCTGAGCGCGGAATGCCTCGAAGAAAGCCTTGCGCGTGCTTCGCAATCGGAACGCGACATAGAGACCAAGGCCAATGCCAACCGCGGAGCCGAGGGTGGTCCAGAGAGAAACCCTGGAGGCGGCGCTTCTCAGCACAGCGCGATCTTCGGGTTGCAGGTCATGTTCAATGTGCTGGTCCGCCAGTCGCATGAGCTCGTCGCTGCGACGACTGCGGATGGTGGAGAAGGATTCAGGCATGTCGGTGGGCTGGGATTAGTTAAATGGTGTTTGAAGTGGTATTTGACAGGAGAGAAGTCCCCAGAGCGATGCCGGTTGATTAAATATCATGATTGATGGAAGCTGATTGCGAGTAATGACGTCAGCGGAAAAGAATGGCACTGATCAGTGAATTACAGCATCAACACCATATAGTTTATGGTCCTATGTATGATCAGTTGTAGTAATTTCAAATGGTCACTATATAGTCTGCTCATCTATCTCCAGGTAGAAAATAACAACTTCAGGCCAGCACTTTGAAGCCTGAAGGTCTTGCCGGCAGCGCAGTTAGGATAACCAAGACGCACATATCACTTTTCTTCAGGTGCATAAAAGGATCTTGTCTGGTCAACTGGGTCGAGGAACTCAAGAAGGCCGAGGAGATCAAGTCAGGATTGCTTTTGACATTAGTACTTTTGAGGAAGGAAGAATCAGCATCTTGCGCATTGATGAAAATAGAATGCGTTTATCAGCCTGATTGAACTTTGAGCATCTATCGCACTCAGTGCAATCGGTAGCAGCCATTCAACCACAGATTGACACTGGTTCGGATGTGGCACCGCAAGTCGGCCCTCACGATTTGGGTGGAAATTTGTTGAGCAGACCGCTTTGTCTAGTATGCAAGGGTTGCTGCACATTTCTCAGTTATCCCACGTCTGCTCTTCCACTCTTGAGTGCTCGATTCTGTAAAATGAGCTTATCGGTGGCAATCCCTTGCAGTGTCGCGTGCTCGCATTTGACAGGTTCTTCCATGGCGGTTAGGGCGCCTTCTTCCCTCAACACCTATTTTTGATCGGGCAGATAGATCATGAAATCCTTAAGCTTTACCGGCGCACGTGTGACTGTATCCTGCAAGGGTTGAGCTTCGACAAAGGTATGGGTTGATGATGGTTTGGTAGATTCAATCTGTCGCATCAAGCTATCCCCTGTTCTTCGGATGTGCTGGATCGACATGTAGGAGCAGGTTATAGAGATCAAGATTTATCAAGATTTACTCGGGGTTTCAGGTGTCCAGGCTGACTCCCTTGGAAGTACCCTGCTTTTGATTCTCCACGTCGTTACGGTTCTCACAAGAAGAGAGGATAACCCGCACATCAACTGTTTCCTCAGCTGGAACGTCAACAACAAGCCTACGGATTGAATCTAGCTCAAGGGGAGATTCGCCGTTCGACAGTGTTCTAGAAGACAATGAGATCCGCCAAGGGACATGTAGGGTTTGTTGGGGAAGTATATTACTAACAGAGCTTATATGGACTCGTATGACTAGGGCTGCGAGGTACACAGACATGGCTGGGAATTCTACAATGTTTAGTCTGATTTCTATGAACCCAGCAAGATGCTTTCTAGTTATGACACTCCTGTTGTGCGTTCCCGACTGGTAAGGGTTTCTTGCTTCATCAACGAAGATTATGTGCATTGATTAGTCCTATAGCGATTTTTTATCCTACATGAGGCGTTCCGAGGATTGTCAGTTCATCATTGCTGAATCGGTGGAATGCATATGGGGCAGCAGAAATGAACCCGCCTCTTTCCGAAGAATCGGTCGTTGCTGGTTTCAACGAGAGGTCCGTGGACTATATACACCCCTGCTCAAGCATGCTGCGGGATTTTTCGGCTGTTGAATTGCATCTATTCGTCAGCGGAAATCCTTAACTGAGATGTTCACCATTTGATTGGCAATGTCTTTCTATCGTGGTATAGGAGCTGATATAACGGGGTGGCAATATCAGGGCAATCTGTCGAGGTTGGGTCTCATGACTGTGACATGACAGATCAAGGATGCTCTACCGCAGCAATGAGATCTCTTGACTACATGACCGATGACCGATGATAGGAGGGCAGTCATGACAAGAACAGCAGTTGGCGTCCAGGATGTCTCCTTCAGCTCAATGTCCAACTAAGCTTCTTTTGGATTCGAAGCAGCCACCTTATGTAGCTTCGGATAACGTCCGTTCTCTGAGGCTTCCCAACCCGCACAAATGCCCCTGAATAACTTCCGGATTGGATATAGTTTGCGCGCACATTCCCAAATCTCATTTCTGGAAGTGTCTCGCAACTTCAACTGTCGAACCCGATATTGTTTATAAAAATGGCTCATAACGGAGGTATGAACGTGGGGTCTAATGCCCACCTCTCCGCATGATGATCCCGGGGCTTCCCCAACAATATGGAGCAAGACAGAGAGCAATATCCACAGAGTAAACTGTATTAATAATGAAATCCCCAGTGGAATGGCAACTCGTATAGTATATCGAGTTGCAGCCGCGACAGCCTCACCGTACGATTCTGGCCATCCTGTTGCCGGAACGGGACTAGTCTGAGACATTTTCATGACGCAAGCATGTTATGCAGTCAGCCAAAGCCGAGCTGTGTACTCCCAGACGCGTCGAATATGTGATGCGGTTGATGTCTGAGAGAAGAATGAGCCCATCTCTACTCGGGGGTTGTGCAGACGGCATAACAGAGCATTTTGACGACGGACATGTGCTACACAGTAGAGCCTGAGAGCGAGGAAATTTCTGAGCAGCCAAGGACAAGGCACCCAGGCACTAACCGGAAATTGCCTAAACTAAAAGGAAAGGATGCTTGGCGGAATTGAGTTTTTTCCGGTTCCTGATGGCTAAGGCAGATACAGTACGGAGTAATTAAATCTTGTCTAAATCCGAAGCAGCCGATTGCACCATCTTCTAATCACCTGACCACGCTATACTGGATTCGGCCTATCAGCAGAGGCTGAGTGGCGGAAGTTCTTGCTGTTGCTTGCCTGGATGCCTGGATGGCTGTCCGGCTGTCCCCCCTTAGGGTTCGATGCCCGATCGGATTTGGGCGGCGCCACACCGTCGATCGTTCATCTGTCAAGTTTTTTATCATCATCAAAACTGCTTCATATCATATCCCTTGCTTTCTATCTACACGTGTCCCTTCTCCAGACTGTTCTAGGACCCCGCAATGGATAGTTGACCATTTCCGGGGACTTTTCGCGGGGATTCTGGCTCATCGACACGACCATTTCCCTTTGGTGATATCTATTACCAAATGCAATCACTTTGGCGCTATCTCGACTCCACGTCACGATGGGTCCAGACAGCCGTGTCGTTTCACAGAGTGTCATTGAGGTTTTGTCATGCGATGGGACTCACACCACCCTAACCTGCTTGTGGCAAAGTGCCCACCTTTCTGCTGCCGGCCATTTGCTGGATGATCCCTGATGCAGTAAGCTTGTGCTCTCGGTGGATCGTCGTCCTCCAGCGCCACAGAATCTAATTATTAAAAGAAATTCTCTGCTATCATGTCCTTGGAGAAGTGCTCCAAGTCTGACTTGTGCAGCATGCTGATTATTTCCCAGTACCAGTCCAGTCCAGTAGCCCATATCTCCTCTGTAGTCCAATTGTGCCACTGTATTTATTCTAAACCGCCTCTTTTCCCTCCTTCTCTCACCCGTCTCTGCCTCACTCTTTCCCTCCACCACACCCCAAGGCCTCCCTCGGCCGCTTTATAAGTCACACATCTCGCTTGTTCCCTCTTCTGTTCCTCATCTCTTACCCTCTCACGACTCCAGGAAGACGGTTCGACGTGGGGCTCAGTCCACCTTTTTCCCTCCCTTTCTCTCCCACCCTCTTTCAACATCACCTCTCCCCTTCCAACATGGGTTCCTCAGTAGATATTTCCGACTACTCCGATACCAACAAGGCCGTGGGAACCGACAATGAAAAGGGCGAGAAGTTCTTCGCCGCTCCTCCCCAGTACGATGGAGACATGATTGGGGAGATGAGCGAGGCGGAGAGACACATCTATGAGCACGGTGTGCAGAAATTCAGCCGTCTCGGATGGAAGCGTCTCACCATCGTGCTCATCGTGGAGGCCATCGCGCTTGGTAGTCTGTCCATCCCCTCGTCCTTCGCTACGCTGGGTATGGTCGCCGGTGTCATCTGCTCTGTCGGTCTTGGGTTCATCGCCATCTACACCAGCTATGTCGTCGGTCAGGTCAAGCTCAAGTTCCCTCAAGTCGCCCACTATCCCGATGCTGGAAGGCTCATGTTCGGCCGCTTCGGCTATGAATTGATCAATGTCATGCTCATCCTCCAGCTTATCTTCCTGACTGGCTCACACTGTCTGACCGGCACCATTGCCTTCACCAACATCACCGAGAGTTCCATCTGCTCGGTCGTCTTCGGTGTCGTGTCTGCCATCATCCTGCTGCTGGTCGCCATCCCTCCCAGTTTTGCCGAAATGGCGATTCTGGGCTACGTCGACTTTGTTTCGATTATTGCCGCCATCGGTATCACCATCATTGGTACTGGCATCAAGAGCTCCGATGCCCCCGGGGGTCTGTCCGGAGTGGAGTGGTCGGCCTGGCCCAAGGAAGGGACCACCTTCACTGATGCCTTCATCGCCGTCACCAACATCGTTTTCGCGTACAGTTTTGCCATGTGCCAGTTTTCCTTCATGGATGAGATGCACACGCCCAAGGACTTTGTCAAGTCGATCTGGGCGCTGGGTCTGGTGGAAATCTTCATCTACACCATCACTGGTGCGCTGATCTACGCCTTTGTTGGCATGGACGTGCAGAGCCCTGCTCTGTTGTCTGCTGGACACACTCTCAGCCGTGTGGCTTTCGGTATCGCCTTGCCCGTCATCTTCATCAGTGGCTCCATCAACACCGTCGTCTGTGGTCGTCTGATCCACGGACGCATCTTCAAGAACTCGCACATCCGCTTCATCAACACCACCATGGGCTGGGCCACCTGGCTCGGTATCATCACCGTCATCACCATTGTCGCGTTCATCATCGCGGAGGTGATTCCTTTCTTCTCCGACCTGCTGTCCATCTCCTCTGCCCTCTTCATCTCGGGCTTCACCTTCTACTTCCCTGCGCTGATGTGGTTCCTCCTCATCCGCGAGGGCAAGTGGAACGAGCCTAAGAACTTGGCCCTCGGTGCCTTGAACCTCCTCGTCCTGGTCATTGGTCTCGTCACCCTGGTCGGTGGGACCTACTCCAGTATTGATGACATTGTAAGCACCGTTCCCTTTTTCTCATTCCATTCCATTCCGTTACTAACTGCGACATTAGATCCTCAACTACAAGGCAGGCACTGTTAGAGGTGTTTTCACCTGCCACATGGTCTAAGCTCTGAATTACCAGCAGCTACAGCCGAACCTACGCTGGTTGTATCATACATTAACATGGTCTAGACGGCTACACTTTGGCAACGGCATGAAGTCAGAGTGTTGCGCAAGACTTGTCGACGACATACTACATTTCCATTCCCAGTTTATGATTTAGAAGAGCCACCGGCTGGCTCAACATAGATGATGTGCATGTACATACTGCGTTTATTTCCAATATCTGAGCAAGCGAATTATTGAATCTAGTCAACCTATTATCTTCCTTCCCTCTAGTATCTCACCATTAGGTGACAATAACCGATTCGCGATTCAAAGTCTGGGTAAGGAAATTTTGGCTCAACGCCTAGACTAATCTCCTTTTTAATTTCTGTCAACCTTAAAATAAGTGAGCGAGCTAAAATGGTTTCCCTCGCCGGTGACAAAAGTTTCACCAGATTAATCCCATAGGCCCAAATCCATCCACTGGCTAAGATGCGGTCCTGAATATTCTAGAAAAACTTTACAAAGTAGCTGCTAAATGGCGCCAAGTAGTTAACTGGGTATCTAAACCCGGTGAACCCGAAATGCTGAAATGCTTTCAAAATCGGCCGCGGATGCAAAAGTGAGAGAGTCGGGAAATCCCGGGTGAACATCCGGTCAGTTGAGGATCTGCTCACTGTTGCTTCACCGGAGGTCCGTTTCAGTCTGGTGTATTATTTGGTCTATCAGCTTGACATAAACATGTATCTGTAGCTAGTCTGGATTGCATTATTCTTCGCCAACACTGCACCAAATCTGAGTGGTTATTACTCGGTGCATATGGCACTGTGACGCTTAGCGATCATCATCATGCGATGATCATGCCCTCTTAAGGATCCACTGTTTTACATGTCTACTACCCTAATGTCCCCTCTTATCTTTTGCCGTGCTTCCAATCAAATGTCCTTTTCATTGAAGTGTCCTATTGGCCAGTCGAAGAGAAGTGATCTCAGTGTTCTCCTCTCGCTCAATTATGGCTTCATCTCATACTTTCGTCGGTATACATCGTCCACATGCACCAGGAAGTAGGTTCCCGGGGCAAGGCTCTCGACACTTCCCTCGGGAGTGTAGTTCCTTTGCTGATATGCCTTTTCGCGGAGTTTACACATCTACCCTAGTCAGCCCATGATCAGAAGCATCCATCATAAAACCCACTCACCTGATCATAGAATCCAGGCGACGCTGCCGTTCGAGCACTCAAGCGTTCATGCAAGTCGATCTTCTGAGCCATCTCGCTGGTATCGCCCTTGACACGGAAGCTGAACAATGTGCTCGCCAAACCGCTGCCGTAGCTGAACACTCCAATGCGTTTGTCCTGCAGTCGGTCACTGGGGACGTTGCTGATCAGGCCGATGAGGCCTGAATACGCACTGGCGGTGTACATGTTGCCGCAGTTGGTCGGGACGGTCAATGACGGCTCTACGCGCTCGAGGAATCGGTCCTTGGTGAGGCTGATGCACAGCTTCTCCAGGCCCTTGTCGGTCAGCGACGCGGTAAAGTCGAGTTCTTGGGCTTGTGCCGGCACCTCGTCAAACGATCCCGGCTCCAATTTGAAGTCGTTGAAAAGCAGCCGACCATAGCCCTTGGACACCAGCTTGCAGTTTGGCGCATGGAAGACGAAATAGTCAAAAGTATCCAGGAAACTGCCCTTGTGGCCGTTACTGATGGCGGTCCCATTTGTCTTTGCCTCGTTCCGGGCACGCTGCTTGACCTGATACCGCTGGTAGCATTGGTCCAGTGCGCCCAGGTAGCAGGTGTTGGAAAACTGCCCGTCGACCAGCGGGTACTCGGATTTGAAATCCGCCTTGTAGAAGTCATAGACGTGCTTCATGCAGGAGCCCCGGAACGGCTCCAGCACCAGAGGGGCATCCGCACCGATGAGCATTGCCACGCAGCCTGCACCACCCGTTGGACGCGCCGCTGGCTTATCGTACAGGGCAATATCTCCAGCCACAACGATGGCGTCGCGGCCATCCCAGGCTGAAGACTCGACCCAGTTTACTGCATTCAGCAAGGCGTTGGTCCCGCCATAGCAGGCGTTGTATGTATCGATGCCCTCGATATCAGTGTTGTCTCCGAACAGCTGCATCAGCACCGTCTTGCAGGACTTGGCTTTATCCAGCAGAGTCTCCGTTCCAACTTCGAGACGGCCGATTGTGTTGGGGTCGATCGAGTATTTGCGCAGGAGGGAGGATACAGCGGTCAGGGCAAGGGAGTAGAGATCTAGCCTGTGAGTTGTTGACGGTTGTTCTTCGGCATGGTTGCTCACCTTCGCGGTCATCACAGAAGCTCATGTTCTGCTGGCCAAGTCCGATGGTGTATTTCCCTGCACTGGCTCCAAGGAATGTCTCTAGCTCTGACTGGGGGACATACTGCACATCTGTTAGCCAAGCTTTAAGCTGCAACAGCAGAGACAACGCACATAGGCGAACATACTCGACTAGGGAAATAGATCTCGAGGGCTTTAATGCCTACGTTCCGAGCAGAGGAGGGCATGGCTTGGTTGAAAGACTGTTACCTTAGTCTTGACAAGTATTCGACTGATGAATTGAATTTGGACGCAGAAAATGGATTAAGGCGATGAAGGAGAGCAGCTTCAGGACAGACAGCTTGTACTTATACCAGTCATAACATCTTACAACGAGGGGGCTGAGGAGCTCAACTGCCAGGCAGCTGTGATGGGTCCTACAGTGTACATTAGAGCATCATCCTGCACCGTGTCCCTGGTCCTTTCAACCGAGATTGGACATTCCCCTGAGCTGAAATAGTGTGTCACAAGTAGATGGACAAGTTGATGTAATTAAAATCGAATGACAGTTCGAATTGGAGAGATGGGATGTGTAGTGGTTGTTTCAAGATACCGACTGTGTAGGGCACAATGATGTCCTTGGCTACTCCGTACCAATTGGCTGAACACCTCACAACTCTATTTTCCCTACAGTCAAGAGAAAGGACGCAGGATGGTAAGATAATTGAAAGCAAGACACAACTGTGAAGGGATTATTTGAGTCTAGATTTTCCCGGATATCCTTTTGTAGAATACTTATCGCGGCTAAATCTATGGTGAGAGCCGTGGATCTTTTAAGAGCTCCTCTCCTACTGAGCCACTTACCAGTCCCAGTCTCTAAATACTAAAGGCGAAAGGATGCTGTCATTCTGAAATTGGAATAGCAAAGACCGAGGTACTCAACCATCTCCGTGATATGGTACCGTTCTGAGCATATCCCTTGATCGTCTCGACCATCAAACAGATGCTTGTTCTCCAGTTGATTCAGTGTCTATTTTCCACAGCCACGGCCGGCTCATAACTGGAAAGATCAGGTTACTCACCCAACAGGCAGAATTCCATATATCCGCGCTATGTAACCAGTTCCTCTTCATGGTGATCTCTGGCGCTCTGTAGAGGACAGACTGGATCCATGTATGCTTGTACGTCCCTCCTTGCGAGCTTCACCAAAGTCACAGAGCACAGGATGACCCAAGTGTTGTTCATGGCCGGCAAAATGACCGGATCAAGGAGATCATGCGTTCTCGTTAATCACCTTTTGGGGGACGGTTTGTTTATTTCTTCTTTTGCAATGTCTGCCAGCATACCCTCATAGTCAATAGTCTTGTTCTTGTCTGTGGTATCTGACTTATTGACACTTGGAGGCATTGCTTTCCCGCAACAGTTTTTAATCTTCGGCTCCAGCTTTGCCATATTCAGATTGACCTGAGAGGAAGCTCAATGGGGCATCTATTCACGTCTGAATATCTGTTAGACATACTTACTATTATTGCTTGTCCATGCTCTTGTGTCTGAGAATGCCATATAACTTCACTGCTCCCAGCTGAGTCTCAGAGGTTCCCTTATAGTTCATGTCCGTGACCTCTTATACCGGTAACTTCCTTATAATCCTCACAAAAAGACCGAATTCACTTGCTGCAGTAACACCCACGAGATATGAGAATAGGTCTAAATAAAGCCCTTTCATCGACCTGCTTCCTTCTCTTCTCTTCCCTTCATCTGACACCGAGATATAACAGCATCCAGATGACTTCTCCCGCAGACCCGGCTGTCATGAGCTCATCTCCTCCCATTCAGCGAGAAGCTGAAATGTATTTCGCGGGCAACAAGACATAGGAGGCTGCTGTGGGAAGCCAGCACAAGAGGGGGGTGAGTTGGAGCTCTCAGTCGCACAATCTCTCATACCTCTAATTGTTTGACCAGCTGCTGAAAGGATTGGCGGATCTCCATCGATTTGTCGCAAGATCCAACTACAACAGCCACCTCGGGCTCATCTCGACTGGGAACTCGCGTTATTCAAACTGGCTTTTGGCCAATGACCTCGAATACATGCAGAGGGTCGGTGTACAAGGCCTTGGATCCACGTTCTATGGAGATCTGACGCCTGAACAGGTGCCGAAGTTGTGAGCAAGTCGTTTGCATCCGACAGCAACTCTGGTCCCGAAGAGGCATGGCACTGGGCCTACCTGGATACTTGCTGCTTTAAATTGATTTGTGCCAAAGAACATCGCCAGCTTCGCCGCATCGGATACGTGATGTGGAATCACCAGCGTCTCGAGCAGTGACGATCTCTCATGGCTCCTTTTCAGCGCCCCCTGTAAGACGATGACAGAGAGGTGGATAGACGCTGGGTGTTGATGTGGTCTTCAATTGATAAAAGACGCAGCCATTACGAACATGGCGCACGGGGTGGTGGGATGGAGAGGATTGGGGAAGAGTCAGATGGCTTGACGGCGCGATGTCAATCCCACCAGAAACACGGCGGAGGCTGTTGCTTCACTAGCTGAAGAATGCTCACTACGGGGCGTCTCAAGGAACCTCAGTCTTATATCTTAAAGCGAAATTCAATGTCACATAGTGATATCTTGAACAGAATGTTGGTACACAATAGAGATCTCGTTATCTAACGGACAATCAGCACATCTCCAGCATGTGAGTCTCAAAGTAACCCACAATTGGTACTCTGGTTCCTTTGGAATCAATGACAGCTGTGATGTCCCTTTGCAGCCTGTGTCCGTTGGTTATACTGCGACCAAGCTAGTAGACATGCGCAAATAATCGCTCGTCGAAGGTTGCGCTTGTTGAAGCCTTGCCGACTGATGCTCCACGCCAGGGTTAAGACGGAGACGGCCAAGAAGAAGGGACGAAGTTTCTGGATACCTGCTGCGGTCACTGAACCTGCAAACACAAAGTCCAAAACTGTCTGTACCGCGGTTAGTTGAGTGCACGTCAATCATGGTTATGTCTTGGAACGAACTGGTAGCCAGCAGCACGAACTGGACAGCAGTGCGGACCCCTCGGGGAGAACCGCCGACATCCACCGAAGGGCACGTGCAGTAAGAGATTGGTCTGTGGAGTTGCATTGAGAGGGTTTCTCGGAATGGCAATTGTGGCACGACATTTTGATCTTCAATATTAATACGATTGAAATGTCTACTGGTTCAGTGATCCTGCTGGAATTGATGTTGAGTTCTTATCATCTGGCTAGGGGTTCTGGGGTGGTATTTAAGTGCGTGCTGTTATTTCCGCCCTCGCGGAATTTGATATCCAGGGCGAAAGAATTGCCGAATCGGGTTAAACAACGCGATAATCTCATATCAGGTACTATACCTCCATCCCTTTCTCAGCTGCCCCTTGATACTAAGCTCTTCTTCTCTGTCCGCATTACACCTTCCTCTTATCCCCTTGATTGCCTTCTGTGCTTTGGTTACGATTTCTCTCTCCCTCTCCAGCCCGCCATGTACCAACACCCCGTCCTCCACCAGAATTTCGCCATCCACCACTGTCATATTCACATCTCGTCCAGTACAACCATGCACAACCGTGGTTACTGCTGTTACACCGTCCCCATCCTCCCAATGCCACGGCGCAGCACCAAGTCCCCCTCTTCCGTATGGATCTAGTACCACAAAGTCGGCCTTCTTCCCTACTTCCAGACTGCCAATCTCATCCTCCAGGCCCAAGGCCCGGGCACCATTGATGGTAGCCATCTCCAACGCCGTCTCGGCAGGAATCAGTCTCGCATCGTGATGGACTCCTTTGTGCAAAGTAGCTGCAAGGTGCATTTCTTGGATCATGTCATAGTGATTCGAGCATGGAGCACCGTCGGTGCCGAGAGAAACGTTGATGTTGTATGGTTCGGAGAGCATGGCAGGAACAGGAGCGATTCCAGACGCGAGCTTCAGGTTCGAGGAGGGATTATGAGCCACAGAGGTTCTGGTCGAGGCCAGGAGAAGTAGATCGATATCGCAGTCGAGGTTGACCATATGAGCCAGGACGAGGTTATGCGACCGCTTCTCAGGATCTCTGGCTGACGCCTTTTGCGAGAGTGGTTGTCCGCACAGGTGTGTGTCGCGTATGAACTACATCGGACTGCAGTGGTAGGTTCCGCGGTAAATTTCAAGGTCTCGAGGCGCCTCTGCGCAATGCATTGTGAGCGAGATGCCATTTGTCACACAAGCATCGCCCAGCTCTTGGAACAATGACATGGGAGCACCGCGTGGAGTCCCTGCGGCGGCCCAGACATGCAGACGTTGATCATGTTGCCCGTGGAACTCTCGATGTCGGTCGATCAGGGCGGGAATAGACATGGAGATCAGATCTCGATCTCGAGGGTCGCTGATGGACAATTGCCGGTTTGTTTCGGGGAATTTGACCAATTTGCCCTGCTTAATTAGCCTATTTCCGTCGGAGTATCTCTGAAGCCCCTACCAAACAAGCCCGTATGCCCATTTCTCCCACCGCGTTGCACACATTTTCAAATCCCGCTTGATACGTCAACATCGGATCGAGGAAGCATGTGGTGCCTGTTTTCAGCATCTCCGCCATAGTCAACCGGGCAGCATGGTAACCATCGAGCTCCTCATAGACGGATTCAAGGGGCCAGATGGCATCGCAAAGCCATTCGTGCAGCGGCAGATCTTCGGCCAGGCCTCGAAGGAGCGACTGTACGAGATGCGCATGTGTATTGATCAATCCGGGAATGATGATCTTTCCTGTGCAGTCGATCGATCGATCGATTGTGAAATCTGCAGGAACTGGACATTTCCCTATAGCTTCGATGCGTGAGCGATTGACAAGAATGTATCCATTGCGGATGATCTCCCGGTCAGGGTTGACGGTAATGATGGTGGCGCTGTGGAAGAGCTTCATGGGGAGAGTGATCACGATAACTCGAATTCGACAGTTGTTCACCTTCTAAAATCAACGGGTACCAAATGCAGATATAATGCTTCTAATTTCCCCAAATCGTCTTGGCGATAAGCGACCTCGGCCGAGGGAGCAGCCATTCAGAGGGCATGGATTATCGCGTCGTCGTTTATCAATCGCATATCTACCGTCACCATTATTCTCTACCTGGGGACTTTATCTGGGATCCTTGGTATACGGTTTACCGATCTATAGAAGGAGGATTGATCCCATCATGACCGGGGTTCATCTCTATATAGCAATTCAGAGCCGACGACATGATGGCTTTCATCAAGAATCCCCCGACGGAAAAAGACCACTCAGACTCCTCCGACGTAGAGATCTCTCCCATTGCAAGCCCCTCGAAATGGCAACAAGTTCGCCATTATCTTACCAGTCGAGATGGATGGGTCGGCAACTATGACTACCTGTATCTCGTTACCCCCAACATCTGGCCGCTCAACAAGAAATACCGAGGCGTGGAGCCGCCCTTCTATGGGCTGAATGATAATGTGCCCATCCTCTTGACAATCCTCCTCGGCGTCCAGCACGCCTTGACCATGGTGGGATCGGTGGTATCCCCTCCTCTCGCCATTGCTGGGGGTGCCTTTTACCTCAACTCTGCTCAGACACAGTATCTTGTCTCAGCCGCCTTCATCACGACCGGCATCGCCACGGCACTGCAAGTCACGCGAATCCACATCACCAAGACACCATTGTATATTGGCACCGGTCTACTCTCGGTCGTTGGACCAACGTTTGACATCCTCGCGGTCGCATTCAACTATACCGACATGCGATACGCGAAAGGAACGTGCCCAACTGACAGTAGCGGGGCCCGTCTTCCGTGTCCCGAGGCCTGGGGTGCAATGCTGGGCACGATGCTGTGTACCGTCTGGATCCAGATTCTGATGTCGCTGGTGCCGCCGAAGATCCTGAACAGGATCTTCCCTAAAATTGTCACCGGGAGCTTGCTTGTGCTCGTTGGCGCGTATCTCATCTCGAATGGGATGCAGAACTGGGGTGGAGGGTCGAACTGTAATGGTGGCTCCGGGATGTATGCTCTTTGTCCGGATATCTACGCTCCCAAGCCCCTCCCATGGTATGTCGCGCCTAATCACTTATAGTGAAGATGAGCATGCTGATCCGGTGCAGGGGCGATCCTAAGCTCATCGGTCAGGGCTTCAGCGTGTTTGTGACCATTGTCATGGCAGAATTCTTCGGATCGCCCTTGATGAGATCCGCTTCCATTATACTGGGCCTGGCTGTCGGATGTACCATTTCTGGTGCAACAGGCTACTGGTCGAGAGAAAGTATTGATGCTGCACCCATTGGAACCTTTCTCTGGGTGCACACATTCAAACTGTCTGTGGACAGTGCACTCGTGCTGCCCTTGCTAATCATGTTCATCTGCGAAGCTGTCAGCTGCATGCCGGATATCCTGGCGACGGCGGAGATCTCGCGTGTGGACATTGAAGGAACTGAATTCAACAGTCGGATTCAAGGAGGAATCCTGTGTGATGGTCTGGGAAGTTTAGTCAGCGCCCTTGGAACGGGGCTACCGATGGTGAGCCAAGCAGGGAACAACGGTGTCATATCCTTGACGGGGTGTGCGGTAGGTTTTTCGTATTCTTTCTCAAACGTACAAAGGCTGACAGCGGTCCAGAGTCGACGAGCTGGATGGTGTGCTTCTGCTGTGCTCATTGTTATGGGCATTCTAGGCAAATTCGGCGCCGTCTTTGGCTCCATTCCTTCTTCCGTCCTCGGGGGTATGCAGGTCTTCCCTGTACAGTACAATCGCTGTCGCTGGCGTACGCGTTCTGGGCATGGTTGAGTTCACACACGGAACCGGTTCATACTCACGGTGGCACTGGGGATTGGATTTATGGACATTGTGTCGCCCAAGTGGTTCAGCTCCGTGTTGACCTACAGTGGGAGCAATGTTCATCTCCAGGGATTTGAGGAGGGCATTAACCTGATTGTGGAGACACCGTTTATCATTGCGGCTGTAGTGGGTGTCATTCTCAATGCGATCCTGAAGGAGGAGACTCGCCTCGGGGATACATCTTTCTTCGGTCACACTGATGTTCGTGCAGTCTATACAGCGTGGTCACTATAGCGAACGCATTTGTTTAGGGATTATATAGTTCAACAAGATTAATTTGTTACAAATACACTATAGTACAGATAGACGTCATAATCTGGGTATCTCATCATGGCTCATAGGTAAAGTTCTTCAATAATAAGCACGACGATGATGGCTTCCACGTCCATCAGTGCCATGCATCCGACGAGTGCCAGCGGCCTAGAACCAGTCAGCCTATCCTTGTGACAGGATAAACAGCAATAATAATACCTTTACTGCCGGTCTATGTGTCAAAGTCCCTTTCAACTTCAGCATGGCTCCCGACACCTTGTCTCCCAGTGTGACCTTTCGACGGTGATGATGCGCCGGAGCAGTGGCGTTAGTACGACCGTAGGCGCCGTCATGGCGGGTCGTGGTAGTCTTTGTTTTGACTGTCCGAGTGCGAGCATTAGGGCCACGAAGACGAGTCAATAGACTGGGTTTGGTGGTACGAGTGGTGGTTGTGGTGGGACGTTGACGGCGGAACATTTTGATAGTGGTTGTTGTACTTCTGGTAGATCTTCAATGAAATGGCTTGAGTAGGTAGGTATTTGGATAAGATGGCACAGCTTGAAATGGATGATAGTGAATAGCAATTTTTATCTCAAGATTGTCGTAGTTTATATAACATAGTCCATATACCAACTTCTATCTTTGTCCTCTCTATCCTTTGATCAGGGTGGGTGACACACAACGTATGCCAAGGGATCTACATCTTCCAGCAGGAAAGTGACAGCTTTTGAGAGGAGAGGGTTAACGCCCGCACGTCATTTGGGAAGATCACTACGTCGATTCCACAGCTATATTGCCCTACAAGGACTTCAATGATATTACTATAATTATAGACATGTAGGGATGAATAGCCCAGGGCTTGTCCTTTTGTTAATGGTCCATCGATTAGGATAGAGCTGGAATGATGTCATGGCTGGCTGGTGGCTACAGACTACCTTTCTGTGCATCGATATTCATAAAATCTGCTATCAAGTAACATGATTTGGAAGTGTGTACCTTTGGTAATTGAAAGAGGATATCCATTGTGATTACCAGTAGATATGGTAGACAGGGTGGCAAAACTGTACGAACTTTAGGCAGAAATATATACTACTGCCATATACCACCTAAACACTGGAGAATAATGGGTTAAGGCATGCCCTGTAAAATATGCATGACCAATTATAGAAGTTTAGTAGATAAAGAAATAAAGAGAAAAGAACAGCATAAATTATCATAATGCTCTTCAAAACGCAAATAAGAGCTTGTTTGCTGTTTAGATCTAGCTTTTATAGCTTTAACTCATATAGTTGGGTTCTTTCAGTAAGAACACAGTAGAACAGAAGATCACGCAGCTACCTCCATTGTCTTCAGCTTCTCCTGCAACGCAGCAAAGTTCCTCTTCATCGCATTTGCAGTGAATTCCTCTCCCGTCACCATTGGGTACTTCTTCAACGGTCCCTGGATCAGCGAGTCCTTGCAGGGCTGGTTGAAATATGCAATGCTGTACCGATCTCCAAAGTAATCGCCCTTCTCTGAGGGCGCCTTCACTCGGTGAAACGTCGATTTGAACCTGTCGTCAGACCAGGACATCAGCAGATCGCCGATGTTGCAAACAATGTCCCCGGTGCGGGCGTCGACTTTGGTCCATTCATCACCGATTCCAAACTCGGTGACCACTTCTCGACCCGGACAGATTTCCAGCCCGCTCTGTCCTTCTTTTTGAAACAAAAGAGTCAGGAAATCCCAGTCCGCATGCGCTCCGGCTCGGTGATATGTCTTGCCGTTTGGCTCCTCGGGCAGAGCAAAGTAATGCAGTAGACGCATGGTGGTCTGCTCCACTGGCCGGGAGATATCATGACACTTGATGAAGAAGCCCTCCTCGAATCCCAGTCCTCGGGCAAAACAGCGCATCAACTGCTCCGATACCTGTTGCACGCCGTGCATGAACGCCAGGGACTTGGTCTTAAACCCCGGGAGATGCTCGTCGCTGACCCACAGGCTGGTCATGTTCTCGCCGAATTGCAGCTGATACGACTCCTTGGTATCTGGCTGGCCTGTCGAAGGACGGATCTGCGAGTTTTTCTCCCATCCGACGTTGTTTGCGTTCCAGGGGACAGTAGCTTTGACCTCGTCGGGCAGGGCGAAGAAGCTTTCTGCAGTGCTGAACATCTCCTCAATCTCCTGGGTGGAAATGCCATGATCGGTCAATGTAAAGAAGCCTACATTCTCAGCGGCGTCCACCAGCTCCGAGGTGATTTGGTCGATGCGCGATTCGAAGTCGCGGAGGGAGATTCGGGGGATGGGACGATCAACGTAGCGGGTCTGCATCTTGATGATATTTAGGTTGGATTGCTTGATCTACTGGACGAAAAAGAACTGTTATTTGATACTTTATACATTCTCACCCTATGAACCATCTTCTACCAGACGAACCATGGCCATCCTACATTCCAACCCTTGGCCCGCCGACCCCGCCTCGGCCGAGCCTTATCGTCTTTGGTGATTTGTTATTTGTGCATATAAAGCGGAGCAGATAGAGGATAAGGTGATATGAGGGATATAAGTGGCATTATTTCATCGACTCAATGTAGATATCCTCGGCCGAGGCGGCCGATAACTCCTCCGGTCTCTCTATCACTTCCTTTATATTCTCTCTCATGAAGTACGTACACATTTCAACATGAGCACCATCCACCGAAAACGTCTGGCTTGCGTGGAATGCACTCGTCGCAAGATCAAATGCGACAAGGTATTGCCATGTAGGAATTGTACACGACGGTATGCAAACAATCATGGGTTGCATTTGATGCTGACAGCAAGAAAGGAATACACATTGTGCTCGGCCGCGCGATTCCACGACACTCAACCACCGGGGCCCTCTACTACGCGATGGCGATATCCACTCCCCCGATATCGTTGACCTTGATGTTGTTTCAAGACTCCAGGCCCGGGTACGTGAGCTAGAAGCGACATTGCAACAAATCGCTTCCAGTAAGCAGCCTGTCACATCACCAGTCCTGCAAAATGAAAGAACAGACAATGGAGTTGTTGTCACACCATCCGTTGCGTCCACAGAAGAATGCATCGAAAACGATATATCCGGACCTGAGCGACTAGAGATCGAAGACGCAGCAACAATTCTAGAGTTTCTTGCCTGGGGTCGTCGTAAGAACCCTGATTACCGGGATGTCGTTGCCCGCAAAGACGCCCTTGAGCATCAATCTCCCGGCGATGTAGCAGCTGAAGATGTTTGGGACGATCGAAGCCCAGGGGGAACGTCTCCCTGTGCATATCTCCAGATACTGCTGCCGAGGAGACAGCAGGCAACCCGTCTGGTGCTCTGGTACCACGGGTCCTTTCATTCCATAAGTTTCCGCAACCATCTTGATGATTTTTACACTACGGTCAACGGCCAGATAAACCACCCCTCGGTTGATCTGCAATGGATCGCCCTGCTATTCGCCATCTTGACCGGTGCTCTAGCCTGCGCACCGCGAGCCACCGCGCAGGCGTGGGGATTCCCAGAATGGGAACAAGAAAGATTGTCCAAGCGATGGTTCAAAGCCGTCACCACCTGTCTGCATCAGGCAGACTTCACTGCGTGTCATTCCATCTACTCCGTCGAGGCTATCGCCACACTGACCCTTGCGGCTCACTTGCTCGGCTTCTCCAACACCCAGTCTGTTCTGTTGGCATCAGCAACGAGAATAGCGCAGAGTCTGGGCCTGCACAGGCTGGGGTCCGAAACAGATGAATCATCGCCGGGTCTGGTGGACCGGGAGATAGGACGTCGTGTGTGGTGTCAGCTCTGCATTCAAGACTGGTTCTCCATCCCGTTCTCCGAGAGCTATCTGATCAATGGGTCCTGCATCGACACGGCCAAACCGCGGAACTGCCGCGACGATGACATGCGCACCCTGTCAGACGATGAACCCTCCAACACCAGCTACTCGCGGTTCTTCTTTGAAATCGCTGCGCTTATGCCGCGGCTGCAGGATGAAATGACCACGGCTAACACCCTCTACACCCGCTACCAGCGGGTCCTGGAGTACGACCGTCAGCTGCGTATCTTGGCCACTCGACGACTCCCCTACTACCTTCAGAACGTGCCACTGGAGCCGTCATGGCCGCAGTTTGTCCCATGGGCCCGGCACAGTCTCGCCATCAGCTCCTCCCACAAGATTATCATGATCCATCGTAAATTCTTGGAGCTCAGTTTCACGAATCCCGTCTTCGCGCGGACGCGACGGACCTGCGTTGCGGCAGCCAGAACGATCATCAAGGAGCAGAAGGACGCGATTCATGACGGGGGACCTGTTCTGTGGATTCACCAAGCGTTCAGTGTGACGGCTAGTGTAGGTTCTCTCCTTGCAGCTCATGACATCACTGATGCAGTTCAGATCATCCTCTGCCTTGACCTCTTCCGCCGCACCATCACCGACCCGGAGACCAACCAGCATCGACAGCTCGTCCAGGACGGTCTCAAGATACTTTCGCGCTGCGATTCCAACATGATCGCCAGACGGGGCGTGCATCTCCTCGAGGCTCTGCTGGCTCGGAAGCGTGCACGATCGCAGGATGCCTTGCCGGGAATAAGAACAACAGAAAGCGCGTCCGAGCCGAGCCGGATTGTGGGTTTGGATCTGGTCGGTATCATCCGCAGCTTCTGCGAGCAGGATCGGCTTCAGATGACTGATCGACAGTCCGAGCCGACTCGAGACTGGCCGCCGATGGATTTCCGTGGAGCGAATAGAGATAATGGACAATCTCCCTCGCTAGAGCCTCTGTCAGTGTCACTTGGCTTGGAATGTGCGGAGGGACTAGAAGATATCTTCTCCTTGGCTGCTAGTTATGTTACTTAAGTTAGTATTTGGTTGGCAATGATCGTTGACAACAATTGTGTCATATCGATCCCTAACTGAGACCCTGCAATGACACAACAGTACAGCCCCTGGTGTCTCAACTGAACAGCCTCATGCCACTGAAGGGACTACTTGTGATTATTGTGACCGTCAGAAGCGACTCGACTGATTTCATGCAATTACAAATCATTTCCCGAATCTCCACTATTCGGTCAGGGGCAGTGAGCGCTTAGTGTCATTTCATCGCTGCGCCGCATCCGACTTCCAATAAGATAAACCATCCATGTTGGTTCTCCACTCCATCCTTGACTCTCTGATCGACTATGGACACAATGTAACAACAGCATTGATTATGCCTGTCGAGCAAGGCTGAAAAATCCCAACATGTTCTGACACCGTTAGATGCTGAGCCGCAAATGACTTCAAACGTAGATTTCAGCCCGCTATTAAACATGTAGTACCCTATGCAGTGCACTAGGCTTATACATGGAGAATATACATCATGAGAAAGGGATTGTTGTCTTTGCTCTCTTTTGTCATCGACACAAGTAATGCCATTACTCTTCGCAAAGGGGAGAGCCCGGCTGTTGTTGGGCTTCGATTCGACCGCCAACAGAACGATGACATTCTCAAAATACATCGCTCTCCATCGAGAAGGCGCAACTCGATACTATCCGAAGGGCTATTAAATGAGGTATGTCGCTTTGACTTCCCTTTGATACCCGAGACTAATGACACAGCATGCTATGACTCTATACACAGCCAATGTCACTGCTGGCAGCTCAGAGCAAGAGATCGCCGTGGTACTAGACACTGGAAGCAGCGACACCTGGTTCAATATTCAATCATCGAACTTTTGCCAGAACATGGTGAACGACTGCGAACGATATGGGACCTACGACAATAGCTCATCAAGAACCTACACATTCGTCAACCACGAGTTCAACATCACATATAATGACGGCACCAAGGCGACGGGAGACTATATCAAGGATACAATTCAGTTCGGGGGAGTTATGTTAAAACAATTCCAGTTCGGCATAGCAGAAGAGAGTACCTCAAATCGTGCGCTTCTCCATGCATTCCAAATCAACATGCACTAACTATCAATCAGGAGGAACATTGGGTCTTGCATTTCCTGCGCTTGAAGTCAGTCGCACTGGGTATCCCAACTTCCCTCAAGCTCTGGTGCAAGCTGGTCACATCAAGTCGGCCGCGTACAGTCTCTGGATGGAGGACGTAACCTCCCACAGCGGGACGATTCTCTTTGGAGGCGTGAACAAGGCGAAGTATCTGGGACAGCTTCAGACAATTCCCCTCGAGCCCGCTGGCGGCATGTATACGTCCTTGCGTGTCATATTGACCGGGCTTGCTCTGCAGCAGCCCGCTTCAAATAGAACCAAATATCCAGATACCGAATTCCCCCTTCTTGTCACCATCGACTCAGGCGCAAGCGTGACTTATCTGCCCAAATCGCTCACCACCAAGATCTACCCCGATCTTGGGGTCACACACAACGCTGTGTATGGCGTCCCGGTTCTCCCGTGCTCCATGAAAGACAAGGACATTACTCTGACGTTCGAATTCTCCGGTATCCGCATCGATGTCAGTATTCACGAGCTCGTTTTGAACGGAATAGATATGGACGGAAACACTGTGTTGTGCGTGTTCGGTATCTATACAAGCACCAGTGGAAACCCCGTACTGGGTGATACATTCCTCCGCAGCACGTATGTCGTGTTTGATCTGGCCAATCGCGAGATCTCCATGACCAACACCAATTTCAATCCCGGGGCGGATGCGATCCTCGAGATTGGGGCAGGCAAGGATGCAGTGCCTGGTGCCACTCCGGTGCCGTCGCCAGCTACCACGGCCGTGAATATGCCGACTGCGGTGCCTTTGGCGACGGGAAGAGAGGGAAAACACAACAGCATAGCGAGTAGTGTGGAGATGGATGTGAGGTTGCTTTTTGCTGGCTTGATTGTTTGTCGTTTGATGTTACAAGTAATAGCCATGTAGACTATCAAGAAATTGATTGCAAATACTGCATGAACGAATCGTCAATTTCCGGCGTCTTGTCTCCAATCCGACTCATCTCAGCGAAGTTGAAATCACTGTACGATTGGTCGTCTGGCCACATGTCACCAAAGAGCTCCGAGTCGGCTTTCTGGGCCAGTACAGAAGTCTCCACGGTAGCTGCTGGGAGATTCAGATGCTGCGTAATGGGCTGCAGCATGGACGGCAGTGTTTGTCCCACCTTTGTCAACAGCAATGGCAGAAACCGTTGTCGTCCACCAGGGAGCCTGTGCACGAGCGAGAAGAAATGCTTCAAGTAATCCTGCGGGCCTAGGTTGAACCCCGACGAGCGCAGTCCCACCGTCGATAGACAAGCCATTACATCGGTGAGCGTACAGGCTACTTCGAAGATTTTCTCGATCTGTCAGGGCTAATCAGCCTTGTCGTGAAAGAAGAGAAAAAACCACCAACCAGTCCAATCCCATGAGTTTCCATACTCTGCGTTGACAACTTCCACGTCGCCAAAGAGAGGTCTCGGGCGATCTGCAGCGGATACCGAAATTCCATGCACGGATAGCTGGCTTTGCTGGACAGAAACCCCGCCGTGGTGGATAACTGCCAGATCATGGTTCGCAGCCACTGCTGCGAGACACGGAGGTCCGCCATTGGGATATCGGGAAGCTCGAGGTCGGGAGGAACAGCATTGCAAATATGTTCGTCGAGCCGGATGAGGGACTCGCGGGAGCATGTGGCATGCGTACCGTTCCAGAGCCCGAGGAACGACTCGTCGAACGGGCGATAGAGGTCAGCGAGACAGCGAAATCCAATATCGGCTGCGTCTTGAGGTGAGGCATCTTCTAGAGCCGGACTGTTGGCGGTAATTTGTAGGGTGACGGGCCGATGTCTTCGAATGGCATGGGCTCTGTTCGGATTAGTAGCATTCTACGAGAGTCATTGACTGAAAGTACCGTTCGGATATCAGAAGCAGCCAGAAGAGCTTGCCGGCCAAGGAGGAATCTGCTTCATCGCCGTTTAATGTGCCTGATTGAGTATCCAGCATGCCAGCCGTGTACAAGGTGGTGGCTTCCCGCAGGAAATAGTACGCATGGCGCTGGTTCCCCAGCGCAATATGACAGCCGTACAAAAGAAAAGCGATGGTGATGCTCTGCCGGACAGGACGAGTGAGCGGATCAAGATGCCTCCGCGCCTCAGTCGCTTCATCGAGCAATTCGCGCCCAGTGTCCATACTCTGGGCCCACCTCGAGCCTGCAGCTTGGGATGAGGAATACCCCGTCTGCATCATGACAAAGGCACAAAAGGAAACCACCAAGCAATACGCATGAATACAATGATCCATCTGGTCCACGTATCTCTGGAAAACTTCCGCCTGTAGAATGGGAACTGTGCCTTGCATGCGCGCGAAGAAGTACTCGGAGCAATCCCGGATCAGCTCCCCAGGAAGGAGATTTTCCTTGCGCGCAAATCGACATCGTCCGCTACTTGAAGCCACAGGAGAATCGGCCACTGTTGGACTTGCAATCGTAGGGTTAGATGGCTCATTTTCTTGAGCATTCTGTGTGCGCAGTTCAGTGAGAACGTTGGCCGACTGGCCCTGCCGTCCTTTCTTCCGTCGGATCAGCGATGTTCGACAGTTTAGCCGGGCCGATCGACACTGGCTGCAAGGTCTTTGGGCATTGCATTTGACCTTCCGACGTCGACAGGCATCGCAGGCTTGCTTGACCATCTGTGTGTCGCGGGGCATCCTGTAGGTCTGATTGCTTAAGACTGCTGTTGCATGATTGAAGGGAAATTGTGGGGAGGGTTGAAAAACGGAGAAGACGTGGGGGTTTCCGAGTCATCCCGCGCCAAGATTAAATATACAAAGGACAAAGGCAATGAGTCGAGACCAGAAGTTTTTAGAGCAGTATGGTCTAATTCTGACGAGCAGGCACAGAGGGCAAGTAACCGGCGCTGGAGTTAGAGTTTATAGTCATTGGACGCCATTATCAAGACATAAATGCTGACTGAACTTAGGGAAGAGCTATCTTGGTCTCCAGATTGTGAGCCCAACTGATGAATTACAGCATGGCTTTGGGCCTTTGTAGTTCTCTCTTGAGAAAGTCTTGAATGCCACCTCGCATCCCCCAAGCATGCTTTGCCAAATCTTGCGTATTGACGGGCAGCTGTCTGGTCCAGCTCATCAACCGCTCATATACATTTCCATCTCGACACCCCAATGCGCTGTTCAGACTGGCATCAGTGAAATCCCATGCATCTGTAAGGGCGATGAGATCAGGGAGAAGCTCAGAGAGGATTTCATCAATGCGCATCCGCATTTCATCGAACTGATTCGAGGTTAATACCCCGTCTTCCGCAAAGGGAATGACGTGGAACGAGGAGACGGAGCTAGTGATGTTTGTCAACGCAAACAACTCAGACAGTCGGGACAGGACGGGAAATAGGCTGGGCTCAGATGTCCGGATCATCTCCACCCGCCGTTGCATAGACTGCAGGACGAAGTATTCTGTATATGCATGTGCCGCGGGCAGAAGGCGCATCAGACAAGAATTCCACGCCTCTGCGGCAGAGGATACCTGCGCTTTTTGGGTATACGCAGTATATGCACCGGCGAGGAGTCTGTGATAGTGATGTTGAAATATGGACCGAAGAGTAGACGGCGCTAAGAGTTGGTTTGCCGTGATCGTCTTGAGATAGGAACACTCTGCGTCACTTTGAAGGTATTGCTTGAACTCGCGCAGGCACTCTATCATATCCGAATCAACTATCCCTCCGGCTTGCATTACGTTGATCTGTTTGAACAGATATCGCATCAACTGCTGCCACATCACGTAGTTTTCCCCCTCGAAAGTTGCCGTGACACAGGCAGTCGCCACCATCTCGGGGAGTCCAGACAGAGCCACATATCCCTGCCCTCCACACATTTTGCGCGCTTCTTCGGCTCCCGCAGCTGCAGTATTTGTTGCCCAAGCTTTGAATCCTGTACTGAGCGCATGGATGAACGGAAGTCGACCAAGGTTGCCTTGCGATTTCTCTCGCTGAAAGTCCGAGAACTTGTCATCGAACTCTTTGAAAGCAAAGAGCGTGGCATATGCTTGGGAGACCAGCGTCAGTAGACGGTAGTGCTGCGACTTGTAAGCCACAATCGCGACCTCGGGTGCTCTGGGATCAGAGAACATTGGTACCCCCTGCTCCCGCACCACTGCGTATCGCGTCGCCACGGTCAGTGGCTGTGCCAGTCCAAATGCTGCCCATTCAATGATCACCCGTCGTACTTGGAGCATGGTGGAGTAGACCTGCTTCGAGAAATGCTGACCGTTATCATCAGACCGGATATATGACCCGTCGGAGAGCACCTGGGCATGTGCAGCCAAAAGACTGCTGCGTGGGACTCGCATATGATCGAAGCGTGCATATCCGTTACAGGTTCCGTTATACGCCATCTTTATTCCCACATCCCCCAGTTCGATACCAGGCGCCGGAGCGAAGTCGTCCAAGGAGCGGATCTGCACCACGAACCAATGCATACCTTGGTCTTTGTCTCGGATAAGCAATTTCGCTGCCACCACCGCGTGCGAGCAGCTGAGCCCCAGCCCGCCAGGCCAGTATTTGGTCGCTGTAAGGGTAGGGGAGTGAATGACAAATTCGTCTGTGTCCGGGTCGAATGTGGCCGTGGTTTCGATCCCACGGACGTGACTTCCATGGCCCAGCTCCGTCTGCACGTAGCAGCCATTGACCTTCATCTGGTCGATCAGGGGGAGCCAATGTTCCTTCTGTTCCAGTGTCCCCTGAAGCTCAATTGTTCTGCGAAACATGAGGAAGCTCAGGCCAAATGGAGTGGAGTTGGTGAGCTGATATCGCTCTGTCAGATTCTCAAATTGTTTATGATTATATAGGATCATATCATCGATGATTGCACGCCCCCGACGAACCCCTTCCAGATACAGTCCCGTCCGGTCCAGTCCGGAGTAGATGTTTGGTAGCTTCATATCATCTGTCAGCTCCAGAGCCGATTCGACGCGTTGGAAGGCCGCTCGTCGGCAGGACACATTCTCTTCTCTGCATAGATTAATAAGGGAAGTCCGAACATAGGATCGCATCGACATACCCATCATAGATTATCTGTGTCAATTTAATCGGATCAAATGTGGCAGCTTGTCTCGCCTGTTCCATCAGGACCATCAGACGATTAGAAGCCATCTTGGGTGATTGAGCGCTCACAAGTGACAGATACAGATACCAGTGTGCGGCTATAGTTCAGATCAACCCGAACACGAAATTGAGGCTGAACCTCACCGTACATAGCCCATGAGCAATCTGGGCTCCCTGGCCACGGTGTCATTTAAGGGAAACTTCGGCGCTTGGATATGGAGGACTGCGGCTGATGTTTAGTGCCAAACTTTCAGATTTTTGGAGATTCCAAGTGGTGCCAAACAAAATCCTACTGGCCCAGAGAAGGGTAGATAGTCATAACATAGCCTCTTTTCTACGCCCATCAGGACATTCAGGTCAGCGCCAACGGACGCCAACCAGTCTCCGCGGGGACCGGCTCGACGCTTGGAAGAAAGCGGCCCGTCAAGCTCAATCTTCATTCGTCTTTGACTCGGTGGCTTGAACAGCTCAGTACTAGGATTGTCGATCGCGAATCTGTTGAGTGATTCAGTCTCAACAATGACCTCCCTAAAAGAGCGCCGTGTGTAAAGCCGCGAATCCCGCATGGACCAGTTATGAGCAAAACAAAGGCTTGTAATCTCATTGATTAGTTCTCGTGCTTGCAATCGACATTTCCGCTAGTTATTCTTGATGTTACCCGTCACCTGAAATAGCCCGGCTTCCCCATCAAGAGCAGACCGCGTGGGATATGTCGGGCCAGAGCACAGCCCACGTCGATACATTTCTGTCCAGACTCACCCCACTCCAAGCTGGAGTCTTTATTTTGAAATCTCAAACCGGCTGCCATGTCGTTCCAGAACTATGAAATCGAACAGGTTAACTCGAAGCAGGAATGGACTTTTGACAAACACTCTACCGCTGTCTATGGATGGCCGTGCCGGATTTGCAGGCGTTCACGAACATCTTGGCATAAAAGACTCTGGACATATCCCATTGTTGATAGATGATTATACTACCATGACAGCTCCTGCAAAGGCCAACCACGCCGGTAGATCTGCAACTAACATCCTGATCCGATGAAATCCCAGCCACTCCTCCATCTCCACCGTTGCCCCATTCTCGTTGCTGTCCTCGACTATACGTTGAATCCGAGGCGCCACAAACGGCACAAAGAATAGATGCGCCACCGCACCCGCAACGCCGGCCCAGTAGAACGTGGTGCGTGACAGGGGCAGGGCGCTGCGCGACCGACTCAACAGAATATTCGATACACCGGCGGAGATGGTGGCTAGATTAAGCGCAAGGACGGAGACGATCTGGCGATTGAAGATATACGCGTACCATTTCGGCAGGACAGCATCGGAGGATTTCCGGATAGACGGATGGAGGAAGGCCGAGTTGGAGAACAGCTCGACCAGGGCATGGACAAGACTTCCTGTGCTGGTAGCTAATGGCGCAACGCGGAGTAGCTGAAGGGGATCGAAAATGAGTCCGGAGGCCATGAAGCTTAATTCTGTGTGCGTCAATCAAGTAGAAGACTGAATTGTTAAGGAAGTCAAGGATGGAGCGGGATTAAATACTACAATGCGAGAAACAGGTGGAGCCAGCGTAAGCCCTAATGCAACGCTATGCAGGGATGGATCAGGCCACAGGAAAGTGTTTCAGGACATTAGTCACTTTGATTTTCAAGTAGATAATACAAACAAATGATACATACAATTCGAATCAGTCTTTGTGATGCTCCTCTCGCACCTCCATGTGTCCCCCCTCCCCCTCGTACGGATCTACCGCCGTCTCTCTGAACTTGCGCGCCGACACTCCTTGCTCGAACAACAGATCCAATTCCTCATACGTCCTTCCCTTGGGCTCCGGCAGGCGAAAATATGACCAGACCAAACTGACGAGGCATGTTGCCGCCCAGAAATATGCGCTGCGGGCACCCCAGTTCCAAGCCGCTGAGTTGAGCTGATAGTTTGTGAGCACATTGACCACGATATTACTCACGTTGTATCCGACTCTAGCCAGCACGATTGTTTTGGCCTTGAGCCGGGTGGAAGAGAGTTCCGACACCAACGAGTACGTCACGGGTCCGATGGTAAAGTCGTAGCAGAAAGTGAAGATAATCAACATCGCACCAATCGCCCACTTGGCCGCGCTATTATCTTCCGGCGCAAAGGAAAGACTACCTGTGATGACGAGCAGGGTGAACAAGCTTGCCAGACCGCAGACGTGCAGTGTTCGACGACCCGCGTAGGTCATTAGAAACCACGATCCCGCGGTACCAATGAAGCCGAGGGCATATTGCGCCAGCGAGAGATCAAAGGAATGCACCGTCGGCAGACCGGCCTGGACGCAAAAGTACGCAAAGTAGCCCATGAGGTTCTGCCCGCATAATGTCTGGACAAGCCAAACCACACAGACAACTTCTGTTCGGCGCAGGTTCGTCCCCTTGAAACAATCGGTGTATTTTGTGCCGCTCGCCAGCGTCTTTTCCAGCTCGTTCGTATGCTGGATCATGGCGATGGTCTCATCAGGGTCGAAGTTCGGATCGTTGGATGAAGTAAGCCGCTGCAGGGCTCGTTTCGCACCTTGGAGATTACCCCGTCGGACATGCCACCAGGGCGATTCAGGTGCGAAGAGGATTCCAATAAGGATCGGGAGTGGCCATGCCCACTGCACCGCAAAGGGAATCCGGTACGCCCACTGGTCCGCTCGTTGTATGGATCCGCGATTCACACCCACCGCGACGAACTGCCCAATCACCCAGCACATGTTGATGAAGGTCGTCAAGTACGGACGGAGGACAACAGGACACACTTCTGAGGCGTAGGCGGCAGGCAAAGTCTGGAAGATGCCCCAGGGAATACCGGCCAGAATCTCTGCAGCGAGGAGCATTTTGACATTGACGGCAAAGAAGAAGAGGAAGACCACCGCGTTCATGGCCGCCAGCGCAGAAACCATTGTCCAGCGGTATCCCAGCCGTTCCGAAATCAGACCGTTGATGAGCAATCCGAAGACTTCGCCCACTCGGGCCCCGTTCGAGAGGGCTGATTGCCACGACGCTGGGACCGTCCATTTGCCGGACGCAGACTGAAGCCCATATTTCTTATTGAACGCCGGAGACGCGTACATGGAGCCCAGCAGCGCCAGATCGTATCCTTCCATGATCAATGTCGACGAGAGGAGGACAGACCAGCCCACGGCCTTCGGGTACAAGCGAATCGCTTGCCAGAGCGTCATGGACTGTTCTTTGCGGGCAGCTTGCTTGCCCTCCACGAGAGCTCGGGGCTTTTCTCCCTCCATAGTGTCTGGGTTATTGGACGTGGTCATATTGCGACTGAATTCTTGCAGGACGGCATGAAGACCCCAGACAGATGCCTCTATTTATATTCATTTTACTGCAGTCATGCTGTGCATATCATGAGCTCCGGCCTGCTCTCAAGATGCGCCAGAAAACGTCAAGGACCCTTCCGATGCAGCATGATCTGGGGAATTTTTCCTTTACCCCACACCGTCCGATGTGGGGATCCTGCATATGCACATAGCAGTAAACGAGCTTTCCTTCTTTCTCATTGGCTACAGCTACGCAAATCGGCCTCTACTCGGAGGCAAGGCGGATGCAAGTCGGAGACACGGGCAGGAGTACAAGCAGGACAAGATGCTGTGGCTGCATGTCGCACTCCAGAGTCTAACACCCGGATTTGATATTATCTGGGAACCGCTGAACATTGTTCTACATGTTGGTCCATAGCTTTAGTCTCAGCATGTGGGAGAACACAACGGATGCATAATCGAGGACATAAGTCAGCTATGCATCTGCTGACTACACAGGAAGATATGGGGCCGAGATGAGGGCGGCCAATCATGTGGATGGAATGCTAGGTTATCCTGTTCCTTGATTTCATCGATTGAACTGCTCCATCGGACGGAGAAGATGCAAACCCTTCGCAGACCCCAAGAGAGCAAGCATACCAGAGGAGGGCATAACTATCAACTCGCCAAACGATCGCAAACACCAAGTACAAGTCGCAAGCTCGGAGAAAGACGGGGTAGCTTAAGGATTGACGATTGATCGTCGATTATGGATGGCGACAAAGATGGATACGTCACTGGATTCGGCATCTCAGCTTCAGGCTGAGGCTCAGCAACAGCAAGCGGATCATGAAGCCGACCATCGTGCACGGGAGCTGTTCCGTTACTTCCAACCTGACAATCCAGCCTTGCTTCCCACGTCCACAGCCCGGAGTCAATCCTCATCGTCATCTGTCCCGTCCAAAGCAAGTCCGAACCTTGTTCTCACAGCACTGACCCAGTTGGCTGCGATTAAATTAGGAGTTCAACGTGCAATCATCAGGTAATGATCCCTTTGGGTAGAATCATTAGCTGGCCTCTGTGACAGTCGTGTTGACCTTGCTTCAGCTTGATTGATCGAGAAACGCTCTATGTTGTCGCTGAGGCTACCCGGTCTCTCAATCTAGGTGACAATGGGCTGTATGAGAATGAGGGCGATGGCCTGTGGATGGGATGCTCCCATGGCCCTGTCGCTGGCACTTTATGTGAGGTAGGCGGATTTGCATTCGATCCTTCACATCCTAGCTGAACATGAGTAGAAAACCATTGCCTTGTCGCCCACTCCCGAGGAAAAGTATCCATTTTTCATTGTTGACGACCTGCAACAACACCCAAGGTATTGCAGTATTCCCTGTGTCGCTGGACCCCCGTTCTTCCGTTACTATGCCGGCACCCCCTTGATGACTAGTAATGGCATCAATATCGGCAGTCTCTATGTCATCGACGCACGCCCCGGCATCTCCCTAAGTACCGCCCACAAGGAAACTCTCGGTGTGGTAGCCGCCGCTGTCATGGAATACTTGGAGACTTCGCGCCAATCGCTCGAGAGCACTCGTCTGGTGAAGCTGCTCTCCGGACTCAATTCCTTTGCGCAGGGAGAAGCGAGTGGCGATCCCGTGGTGGAGCGCTTATCTAGACGCTCTAGCTCTTCCGACTCGGATGGTCCAAACACCCCCAGCCCCCCTAGCACGCCATCGCTGGGACCTGATCTACAGCCTGCTCCAGCTGATGGGACAACTTCGCCCATGGCGATCGCTCCACGCAAGTCTGCCAACTCCGCAATCCCCGATAAAACATCTAATTTTGTCGCTGATGATGTTTCACTAAGCGGGAAAAGCTGGACTTTTCAGCGTGCGGCTAACATCATGCGGGACAGCTTGGACCTGGGCCAAGAGGGTGGTGTTGTGATCTTCGGCGCTCATGATGCCTCTGATCAGGACGAAGATCTTCAAGAAGAAATGCCACGTCCAGCGCACACAAAAGCCAGTATCCGGGCTATATCGACAAAGTATTCCCATTCCTCGGGCTTGGCTGACGAGTCGCACTTCATCCCAGCAGCCCGAATGGATCGCCGGTTCGTGAAGCGGATGATGCAGCGATTTCGCAAAGGAGCTCTCTGGTACTTTCACCGAGACGGGACCAACTTCTCCTCGGACGAAGATGGGACACGCTCAGCCAGTGACAATGACCGCAGTGAAATATCTTCCGCCCAATTGGGAATCCCACATCATCAGTCTCAGAGTGCGTTGAGAGAAAAAGATACTCTCCTCCTGCAATTCTATTTCCCCCGCGCTACTCGCATCATCTTTGCACCCCTGTGGGATTCTTTCAACTCGAGGTGGTTCGGGGCATGCTTCTGTTGGAGCCTAGAGGAAAGTCGGATATTCAGTCCTCATGTTGAGCTCGGCGGCGTGCTCGGCTTCGGAGCTTCATTAATGATGGAGCACAGCCGTGTACAGAGTCTGGAATCGGACAGGAGGAAGGGAGACTTCATCAGTAGTATCTCGTGAGTACATTTCAGACTATTGTAGTGGTTGAAAAAGGCCGTTTCTGATACCGAAGTGCAGACACGAACTGCGGAGTCCGCTCCATGGGATTCTCGCCGCAGGAGAGTTCCTCGCTGAGCAGGCCTTGTCCGGCTTCTCCAAATCGCTTCTGGACACCATCCGTGTGTGCGGTCAGACACTTCTGGATACCTTTGAGCAAGTCCTCGATTTCAGCAAGATCAATTCTTTCAAGAAAAAACGACGCCAGGCGAGTTCGCTTCCGCACGGGGACCGCGGGTTGACAAGAGCTCCTGAAAGACCACAGTCTTTACACATTCTAAAGGTCGCCAATGTGGTGACTATTATCGAAGATGTGATCGAAAGTATTTGCTTTGGCTTGAATCACTTTAATCCTATGTCTGTGGGCGGAGTTCCATCTGCATCACTTGGAATACAGGATAACAATATAGGGCTTACCAGTTATGTCGATATCTCCATTGATGTTAGTCCAAATGATTGGGTCTTCATATTAGAACCTGGGGCTTTACAACGCATTATCATGAACGTCTTTGGCAATGCGCTGAAGTACACGCGTGAGGGATATGTGTCCTTACATATCGAGATTCTGACAGACAAAGGCACTCTTCAGGCACCTGCCGGCACGGACACACTACTCCTGACAATTTCGGACACTGGCAAGGGTATTTCGAGCGAATATCTGCGCTCCCACCTGTTTACTCCTTTCTCACAAGAGGACTCATCGTCGCCTGGCACAGGGCTCGGACTATCTCTTGTCCACAGCATTCTCCGGTCCCTAAATGGTCGCATCAAAATCAAGAGTCAGCCTGGCTCAGGGACTGTGGTCAAAATCTCAATCCCCCTTTCGCGCCCCCAAAGACATGAGCATCCAGCAGGACCGATGGCTACTAATGAATTAGTGCCTCTCGCTCAGCAAGATGTCATCCAAGCTGTGAAACATGAGCTCAAAGGGAAAACCGTATGCTTTGTGGCTTCCGAACGCTCGGCGGCCACAGGGCCGTCGTCCACAAGTACAATAACAGCATATTTAACACAGTGGTTTGGACTTCAGCTGCAGCCATGGAGTCCAGATACTTACGCAGACCTGGTTATCATTGACGAATCCGAACTGGTACGCATTAAATCCTTATCGGAACAATCTACGCTGCTTGTCCTTTGTCGAAAAGGGCCAGGTACGACATCAGCTTTTGCACGCCTGGCCCAAGCACGGCCAGAAATCGAATGGCTTCACCTTCCATGTGGTCCTTACAGACTGGCCCGAGCAATCCATAGTTGTCTGCAGGTAACACCCAGACTTCATGCCCCTGAGAAGCTGTCTTCTCCACCTCCGAAAATGCCAGATTCAAGTAGAGAAGTAGAGATTGATGGAACTTTCATGAATGCGCCGATCGTGACACCATCCGTCCCAGCTCACACCACAGATGCCGCAGCGCAAAACCTCGACCTTGCTTTAAGACCAACCAGCGTTTCACCGTTGCAGAACATCCTGCAGAAACAGAGTGGAAGCCAACTTTGGGATTTATCAGCCAAGTCTGAAGATCTGCGGATCCTCCTGGTCGAAGATAACACCATCAACATGATGCTCTTGCAGAAGAGTGTTGCTTAGAGGCATCCCAGCATTCTACATACTGCTGAGGATGGCAGGAAAGCCGTCGAGGCTGCGACGGCAATGACCAAGGGCTGTCATATCATTTTTGTGGGTCAGTATATAGCCGCTTTCGAAAACTGTAGTATGATTCGCTAATTTATGACTAGATATGACAATGCCTGTAATGGACGGCTTCAAAGCAACAAAGGCGATCCGCGCTCTGGAGATGGAACGCAAGACCATTCCTCCTGCGACGATCATCGCACTGACTGGTCTCGGATCAGATGAGCACATATTGAAAGTGTATGCGGCAGGAATCAGTGTTTTTGTAACAAAGCCCGTCTCCTTCAAGGGGATTACCCGACTGATAGATCATTGGAAAAGGGGCATAACGGATTTGGATTCTCAGCCAGTATCTTCGCCTTGATTTTTGCACATTCATATCCAAATGAACTGGGAGAAGAGTTGTGAATCTCAATCAGTACCAATGTCGGTCTCCACAGGTTGGGTGGTTGGATTGTCTTAGGTTGATACCCATTTGGAAAAGTCAATTGTTCACTATAGCTTCTGTACTAACCACTAACATGTTTGTGCTTAATCTTTGGAGAGACTCTTGTGTTTTACTTCAGGTATGATTACATAGCAGGGCATTGAGGGTTTAACAGTTTCTCATGGGTCTATTACTCAACTCTTACATCCTAGAAATGGTATCATGCTTGGAGTCCACATCCCCCTCTATAAATTATCGTTGCCTATAATAACCGAATCAGCGAGCACAGGCACTGTGGGCAGGGCCCTGTCACAGCCTGGGATCAGTCGCTGCTTTTCTCTGCTAATCACTTCTTTTGGAACGGGGTGATGTAGTCCTAGACGAAGTCTATATTCAATACCTGCCTTACCTATCTTGTAAGTTGATGCGGAAACTGTTCCAGCTATTCCCAATTCCACACGATGCCAGCTGTGAGGGCTTTTTCAGCCCTAAGCTCTCGAAATACAATTCAAGGTAGCCTATCTCACAGCGGATCCCTAGGACTAAATGTTTGAACTAAAAAAAGCAAGAAAGGGGTGTATTGACCATGGCTAGCTAGTACTAAATTGGCCTCCAAGGTAGACCATCTTCAAGATCGCTGAGGACCGGCAGCTGTAGCCTGAGCATGGCCGTCAATATCAGTATCATCAACCCTATTGCCGTGAATGCCCATTCTGAGACGAATCGGCAGCCTGCACAAGGATACATGCTTATTACCAACTCGCTAATCATCTCATCGGAGTTTATAGTGAGGCCAATGAGGTAGCCGTCACCTTCGGGAGCATCTAGGTAGCGAGGGATGAAGACCGGCTCTTGGTAGAGTCGATAGTCTCTGTTCCAGTATTGATCGACCTTTCCGGTCTCCAAATTCAACTTGTACTCGCTATTGAACGGAGGGAATCCACCTAATTGCTTCTGGTTAGCTTCAGAGGGCCACTGGGAATAGGATTGAGCCAGCCAAAAAAAGGTCAGGTCATATCTCTTACCCCCAACCCGCTTAGAAACCAGCGACCAGTCCGTCTTTCCCTCTTCCGGATCCTGCATGGCTCCGAAAATACACTTGCTCTTGTAGCACATGTATCAGTCATCGACGCGGATCATCTCATTATCCTTTTCAATGACTATTTCAGGTTCGAGTTCAAGGTTGTCGGTCTCGGGGTCAATCATCCAGTGGGCCAACCGAGCAGGATTTGAGCCCATAGGGGGTGAATTTCCGTCCTTGTCAGGGAAAAAGCCAAAAAAATTACCGTTGGCGTGGCTCATGTAGAGGTGGATCTTGCCATCCCCCTCCCACGCGTTGGCTACGTGTCCGTTATATGCATTGGCACCATAGAACCACTACATATAGATATTCAGCACTGGGTAAAAGATTTAGGGTGATTTCATAGCGTACCTTTACATCGCTCGACGTAGCTCCTCGTCTGGGGAGAACGCCAATGTAGTAGGGTCGGTCAGGGTACCACTGCCAGTGGTTTTCACCAGCCTTGAGGTGGTAAATGCTATCAAGATGCATTGGGTAAATTGGAAACAGCACCTACGGAATAGATCAACAAACTTGGGCGTGTTTAATTGCATAGGCCAGTAGGAGAGTGCTCACCCGATTCTCGGTCGCCGCCATCTCATGCTGGAAACCGCAGACTGGAGCAGTGAACCAGACTTTCTCCGTCGTAACTCCGTGCTGATCCAATACCCTTCCCCTCGTAGCCAAAGCAGAGCAACTTTCGGGTAACAGCATCATACTTGGGATGCGCGGTGAAAGTCTCGCTCTCCCATTGGCCGTCAAAGTCATAGGCACCATAGGTTCCAAGAGTCTTGGGTCCATTGCGTAGAGAGGGCCATCTTCCTTGAGAGTTAAAAGCTTGTCACGCCAAGGGAAAGTGGTGGTATTGGCAACGGTGCCGACGCAGTAGTCGAGGGAGTCAGTGAAGGGATTGCTGTATTGGTCTGCACAGATTAGAGACTTGTTAAGACGTGGAATCCGAAACAGATGATAACCTACCAAGGAAAGTCTGTCAGTGTTCCCGCTCCAGCTTCAACCTTTCGGTCTCCACGTAACGCTGCTTAAAGTCAATGTGCCCATCCTTGATGCCGAAGGACGAAACCAAGCCGTCACCATTGATCGACTGCAAGGCGATGTCAACGAAGAGAATCAGGAGCGCTGGGCTATTCTCGTACTATAGAGTACATATAATATCATCTTTGATGAAGCAAGATCGGGCATGATTCTGTAAGTTTCCGGAGATCTCCTTGGGGGTCTCGCCTTCGACCTCCAGGTTGTAGATCTCACCCTCAATGCGAACAGGCCGCTGGAAGCTGAGAGAGCTGGCCCAAAATTCTCAGGGTTGAATGCGCTGGGGACAGGAGAGTGCTTTGGCTGGCCATCATGTTTGATGCTGTTGCGGATCGAAAGGACTTCCATCGTCTGCAGAATCGAAATTAAATAGCAATGCAAATGCGACTCTGTTCTACAGCAAAGTATAACACTGGGGATCGGTGGTGCTGGAACTGTCAATCAGCGGGGTTCTTTTGTCAAGATATATGCTCATTGATTTGCAGCAAGTCGTACTTTTTCCGGTAGCAGACGGGCTGATGTAGTAGCCTTCGATATTAAGCCCTCCAGCCGGAGCCAACGGGGCAGCTGTAGACGATGCTTGGATGTATCTGTGAGCCTTCTTTTACGCATGCGCTCAAGAATGGAAGGTCCTTGATGTTGTGGTATGTCAACTCTCTGGAGATGCCACATGCCTCTCGCGCAGCATCTATTTCCCTCTTGAGGCGCGGGTAGCGCGAAGGATCCTCGAGGAGCGGGCTGAGCACCGCCTTGATGGTGACCGATGTCGTATCGACACCAGCAGCAAGAAGATTGCCGACCTCAGCCATAATCTCTGAGATTGTGGCTGGCTGGCCATTTGGGCCCTTCATCTTGAGAAAGTGATTGAGCATGTCCTATTAAGTGGTGTTTCATGACTTCTCCTTTATCTATTGAAAGACCTTATCTACAAAGAAGCACTGGAACGCACAAGTATACTCAGCAATTCACAGCTCAAGTAGTAATGCAATATAAGCTGTTATAGAATTTATAATCCAGCCACTTTGCCAGAAGAGGTAGCTGAGGTTGGAGATCTAGTAGAAGGCTCCATGAATGCACAATATGAACTCCCTCTTGTCTTATTCATCCTGAATGAAACCTATCAGTTCACTTAGACACAGAGTACCCATAATATTATAGGGTTTAGGTAAAGTATGATGCGCATACACTAAGATTAATGGGCTGTCTGCACTTAGCAAACTCATTAAATCTCTCCCAGAGGGAGCTCAATACAACTTGAATCTTGGGCTCCATGGATACAACTGAGGACATGGTATAGGTGGCCAAGACTCTCCTCCGCAAGAAGCTGTGTTCTTTTTCATCCCTAGATCCGAAGAACTATGCGAGATAAGTATACCAGAAAAATTGCTTCAGGGCCAGCTCATACCAAAACCACTGTTTTCTTCTTGGACTTTTGGCCTCCCAAAGCTAGCCAAGTATAATATCAATCGGTCTTCAAGACTCATTAGCTTATCATAGAGTTGGCTTAATTGAATTCAAAGACCTTAAAAGCTTCAATATACATCAGGAGTTCCTTTGGTGTAGCTATAGATAGTCTTGATGAGATCTAGGCTGATAATACTAACTTTATTCAGTGCAACCCTAACAACTAGGCTATACCGTCAGTGGAGCTGAAGGATATCAAGATGCCACCGCCCTTTAAAGTATCAGTTGGATCTCTATAGCTCGGTGATTCTCACAAGACGCGGCCCCGGGACTCTGCGTTAAGGATGAAAATAGGCTGTATAAAGAGCTTGAAGAACTATGACCAGAAAGGCAAGTCCCGCCAAAGGTTTGATCAGTGACGCATTAGCCTCTGAAATGATGATTTGAATGAAGTTCTCAGTTTTGGCCATGATGGGCGGGGCAGAGCATGCAATGCGAATACTCCAGCTCAGTTCAAATTGAGCTTTCAACCTGTCCATTAGGAAAGTCGCATAGCAATTTCAGGACCGATCAACGCTACCTTGCTGTGGGAAACAGAAGGCCAAATATGAATATGAGCATCCTCTTGCAAGCCATGTCCACAGTTCCTTTTGTCAGTGGAGGCGATCACTTGTTGGGTCCACCAACGTTGCTGTATGCTGATTCCGCAGTATTTCCCGCGGGGTAATCCGGGGTTTGGCCCTTACCAATTAGAAGGAACCTTAAGCTTAAGCTTTAATATATTCATGCAAAATACTATGCTCCCTTGTGGAGTGGGACTCACAGGCCTGGGAGGCTCCACAGTGCGGACAACCATGAAAATAACTACATCAAATAGTAATAATTATATGTATATTAGGATTGTGAAGAGAATCAGTTAAACACCATACAAGTAATAGGGGAGCAGATACAAGCAAGGGATCTGAATCCAATAAATAGGATGTCATCTTGCTGTACGTAGTCTAGCCGGATACCTGAGATCTATAGTCAAAATCTTAATGTCACAGGTCAAAAGGGGGAAACAGAACATGATTATGACTGCAAAATAGCATGGACATTGACATGTAATGATGATGCATGTGCTTCTTCAGAGATCAATATCTAGGTAGAAGACCCAAGTATCTGTCTTCGGCTTGCATTGCGTAGGTATCCGTGGAACGTCATAGTAGAGAACAAGGATAAAATCCGCTGTTCAAATACTATCATTACCGGCGTAACCGCATTCAGCCAGTCAAGGTGGTAAGCTGTCGCTGGAGACATCAGTTCATCAAGAGTCGAGGCTGGATATATGGACAGACGAAACATGCCTGGAACACAGATATCGCTACCACCCAGGTCAAATAATCATGAGGCTTGCGAAGCAGCAGCCAATTGAACAAGCACTCCTGACACCAGGTGATGTTTTTTCCAGATTGGCCGGTCACTATTAGTGGGCTTTTAGAATGGGGAAGTAAAGTACAATATTGAAGAAGTGCTTCCAACTCGAGCTGCACTAAGGTAGATCAGTCCTTCATGGTTGCTTATTGTTAAAATATTAAACCACTATGATTGTAATAACCTTCCATTGCTGCCTCTGTAATCAGGAGCTTATGAATAAGACTGCTCTTTATCAACATCTTTAGGATAAATAGCACATTAAATCTTGCTTTTTGTGAACAAAGAGTCACCACTAACATTTAAAATAGGCAAACTGAATGTGGTCAAAATTCCAACTAATTGGTTCCTAAAACAACTGATCTAAGTTGAACCTTATCATGTGTCTTTGCAGACCAAGGAAGCTGCCTGCAAATCCACCACCTTGCCACCGCTCAACCACGACCAAGTGTGCATTGCATTCAGTGTCACATCTACACCTGGCCCGAAAATCCTGCAGGAAGTACTCTGCTGGAATGCTGTGAGCTGGGCGCTTGACGCATAAACAACGCCTTTCTGCGCAACTGCTGTTTTGCCCCAGAGTGATTCGATGGTATGTTTGACACCATTTGCTGGAATGGTCACATCAGCATTGGCACCGGACTGGTCATTGGCGAGCTGAACAGTCACAACGCGAGTCTCAGCGGAGGGGTTAGCTGAGATAGATGTGGTAAGAAAGGCGAGGACAAGTGCAATGTTGGTGGAGATCTTCATTTTGAATTAATCTGTCAATTTTCCCCGGAGAAGAAATTTGGGCTTATTCTGAGTAGAGGAAGACATCTTCTTCCTCTATATAGTCCTGAGGTTGAGCTCAATACCTCCTGTGAGGTCATATGTGGTCATAAATATGAGTCCCTCACCATCTAGATTCATCTGTGGCATCAGCAAATCAAGGCGCCACAGCGGATATGCAGACGTTCAACAGGAGATATAATAGACACTTCTAGACAACCCAGGTCAAAAGACTTCCGCATACAGCCCCTACTCTTCCGGAACCAAAATCACCTCCCTTACTCGCGCGTTCAGCCTTCCTCCCAAACTAAACAGCATTGCCTCTTAAATTAGACCCCATTGAGTTTAAAATCATACAATGGTTATTGATCCCATGGTTTGAAGTTTCCGTGGTTCCGAATTATCGTAGATCCTAGATCAACTTTAATATATGGCTCTTGTCCGTTTGCAGTGAGCTTTTTGAGGAGTTAGATTGAAGGATAATCATCATTGCATAATACTAAATTCTAACATAGATGCACGGCTAGTTGCAATCAGTGATGGTTAGGTTGTATTCCTGGCTGGAGTTCCCTACACCTCAAGGCCTATGACTATGAGTTCGGGCCTGATAATCACCGGCATGGGACATCTCAACGAAAGATTTCTTCTTAAAAGTCCAAAATATCAATAAGAGTAAGCAAAATTTCTTGTCGAAATTTCTAGTGAATTATATGTTTAGAGTAGAAGCCTGATTTTCGGCTATCTTTCGACTCTTTTTCCACTTCTGAAAAATAGCCTTTAACACAAAGCCACCTCTTAAGTTCAGCCGTCACCTTCTTTCTACAGGTACTATCTACCTGTAGGTATGGTGGAGGACGCTCATACTCATTCATCACTAATATATGCACATACATAAAGCTTTTTATTAGTTGATTGAAAGTATGGAGGAAGGGAAGATGACTATCATCTGGTCATATCATACCACGAGTCGAACCGGTTCAACTGATGGGAGTGGCGAATTGGCAGTAATAGCTCAAGGTGGAAAGATAATTCATAAAAAATGACGATATGATCACCCCATATATAAATCAAAATTACATCACAACCAAGGAACACAAAAGGTTTGGAGATTTAACAGCATATCATCACTAGTTGAACCTAGAAGAACATGTTTTCCAATTTCAGAAGTGGAAGAGAAACAGTGAGGAATTTTATCACCATACCAAGGAAACCAGTCATGTGTACGTAGGGACGCAATGGAGAATTTGCTCATTGATTAAGCATGGGAATCAAGCAAACCAAACATAGCTGGCCGGGCAGAGATAGAGGTTACCTAGGTATAACAGTGTAGGGGAGCACTATCGGCAAGTGGGTATGGATCACTAAGTAGACCTCTAGGTAGGTACTCCCTGTTTTTCCATTATGTATAAAACGCTCCACATACCCTACAGGACTGCCAGTTCAAACTGGAAATGCATCCTCGATAGAACACTCCACAATGTCAACTACTAGAGTGACAGCCAAATCCCGAGGCAATATGAAAATATCCTTCTTAAGAGGATGCCGTATGGACAAATGGCCATAGGTGTTGAGAACTCTAGGAGAACAGTGAGTGAGTGCTGCCAGTAGGTTCTGAATCGGCCTGCTGATGGTAATAAATCCCTTACTGCTGCAGAGGGACGATATGACATCCTAATTTGAGATTCTGATAGATTCTCCATTGAGCTAGTAATGTGAGTAGCTACCATTGCTCCCATAGTGAACATGTCCATCACTGGTAATTCGCTCAGGTGAGTATATAGCTGAAGCTTATAGACTTTCTTATTTTATCAGAAGTCTAGTTAGGGTTTAGAATTGACCAAAAAGACGAATAGATAGACATACCTGCAGGAGGCTTCAGTAGAGCACCAGGAATGCCCTTGCCCTCACCCTTGAGTGCCCCTTTGAGCCCATCCTTGCTCCATCCATGGCATGGTTGCAGGAAAACGCTAAGAAAGCCCTCCTTCACTCCGTATCCGAGCTCCTAATCTTCGAATCAGTCTACGCACACATAAAGAGGAAATGGAATTACCTCGCCGGCAGCCTGTAATCCAGTCCATAAGTTGGTCACCGTTGGAGCAGGCGTGACAGTTTCATCATGGTAGAGTAAGGGAGCATTGTGAAACCCCCGCGAGAGGCTGAGAGTCAGATCCATTGGTAATACTATGATTAGATCTAGTGCTTGGAGAGATATTCGTTGTGCATGGAGTGTGTTGGTCCTGAGAAAGCCGAGAAACCGGTTGAAAATCCTGTGAATAGTAGGTTCTGGGGCTATTTGTTGGGGACCAATATTGCATTCGACATCGGCGGAGCAGAGTGCTGAGGCTTCACACTGTCCTTGACTCAAAGAGTAGCGGATTGAGTTCTGACCATGGGATACGACACGACGCGCTGGCATAATACTAAGCAATTTCAGAGTGAGACATGACACGCCATGCATGCTGCGTGCAAGGGAACCCAAGAGGACCTGGGTACCGGCCCGAATGGTTCGTGAGGGTTACGGATACTGTCAAAAACCTTAGATCGGTAGCTGCGGATCGCAAATCAGGTCAGAGATAATGGTTAGTAATGGATTATTGATAAGTACTTATATTTCTATGTCCCGTCTTTTGATCAGTTTTGCTTCACACAAGACAGCGGCTGCGAATGCGCTTAGTGTAATTGATGAGTGCTTCATCTGCCATACAGCAGGCTGTGTAGGACATAGTGAGCATGCCAGCAGTGTGTGACGGAGGTGCTTGTGCATATATTGAGTTGCAGACTTGGCTCCTGACTCCTTCTGCATTTCCTGGCTGACAGCAAGAGCCTTCTCCTTAATGCAGGGTTGAAGGGCTGCATTAATAGCAACAGCTAGCTTCTCAGCTGTCAGCCCCTTGTAAGGCACTGGGGGCGGACCAGCACCAGTTTGGGCCACCACAGCACCCTAGAAAGGTTGATCACCGAAAAATGGCATGATCACTGTGGGACATCCAAGAAGAAGACCTGTGGCAGTTGTTCCTGCTCCTCCATGGTGTATAACACAGCTGACATGTCTGAATAACCAATCATGGGGGCACTAGTCGACTAAGAGGATGTTTTCTGGAATATTCTGGTTCTCTGCCCCTAGGTGACCCCAACCTCTGCTGATGATCGCCCGCTGCCTAGTAATCTCAATGGCTTTGAACACTGTTTGAGTCAGAACAGCCGGATTATCCATAATAATGGAGCCAAAACCAACATATATTGGGGGAGGTTTCTGTTGAATAAAGGCAGTAAGCTCCGCGGGTGGAACAAAGCCTGAAGTAGACAGGGTACGGGCGAAGCCGCAAATATTAATGTAGTCAGGCCAGTCTGCTAGTTTTGGCAATAGTGCTGGCGACCTATTGGACAGCCACACTTAATAATTATGCATAAAGGGGCAGGTGCTGGTCACTCACCAGAGATATATATGCAGGATTTTGAGCTCATGCACCAGATTTACAGCCCGAGTGGCATCTAACTGATCCAGTCCGATTGTCTTCCGCCGGAACATGTTGATAATATTTCCTAGACCTTCCCAGATTATGAAATCCACAATTACATAGGACATAAGCCGAGCGATGGATGGCTTGGTGGTATGGGATTGCATGTTGACAAGGATGATCACATCTGCAGCAAATGGCCGATCCCAGAAGTTGGTGACAGAGACGTGAGTATTATCTGCAAGTTCATTAAGATGAAGTCCATTACCTCTTTCAAAGCATGATCCCCAGCAACCATCCAGGATGCTGCTGATGTCCTGTCGGTACTTTCCAATTGTTCCACTCCGGACTGCCGTGAGGTTGGGAATAAGCCCTGGGTTTCAGACCATATAGGCCATCAGTTCAGCAGGGTTTCCGCCAATGCAGAAGAATTCTAGCCCGTGACTGGGTACGAGTTCTTTAAAGGTTTTATGTGTAGCCAGTCAAACACAGTGGCCATGTTTCTGTAGCGCCTGGCCTAGTGTAATAAATGGCTGGACATCACCCTGGGATCCAATCACCTGCAAGACATTATTCAAGTAAATCCCAAAGGTGTCACCCTCTTGGGATTCAGTGCGCCTTAAGAGTTGTTCTTGATCATTCTACAGGACTCTGAGCCTATTTATTAGCAATTAAATCACTAACCTATTTTGCTTTATGCATGCTAAAGTTGTTTTCACCCACATCACAGCATCCCCCCTATAAACGTCACGCCACTGTTCCAAGAGGGAGAATGGATGGAAGGGCTCTTTGAGGATTAACAGTGTTTAATATGTGGCTTATGGAAGCCTTGTTTTCTACACCTGATACTCATATGCGCCTAAGTTTCCTACTGACAATCAAGATTAAGTCACAGTGCACTTATCATAGTCTCATAAAACAGTCTAATGGTGCAGGGTACCCTGAATGGAATTTAACATACACTACTGAGATTCGATATTAGTATGTAATCCTATTTAATGGGAAGGATATTTTATTTAGCAAAACTAACCATAAAAAGGCCTCAGCTGGATCGTTATTTCCAAATTAAAACTAATCCGACCCTTGCATGACTCTTGCCAACCCTTGTACTCAACAATGGCCTACCACATAGTATAATCTTCACATAAACAATAACTCGCCTTCCCGTTCGACTCTCTGTGCGGAACGCATATACCCCGGTCAAAGTTATGATGGCGGCACTACTTCATTAGTCTCCAGCTATACCACAGGGAAGAGAAACAAACATGATGGTCACACTCATGCGGGTCATCCGGACAGCCATGGTGGCCGTGATGGTGATCGCCATCATGATCATGGTTATTCTGGCTCCAAATCACAACGAAGGCCTCATTGGGAGGCAACGCTGCGGCCAGAGGGACGAGGGCCAACGCTGACAGGATCTTGAGAAGGTGCATATTGATCTAGTTGCTATTTCGCTATGTTATGATGCAAGAAAAAATGGCATCCTCACTGAACAAGAAGGGAATTATATAGCAGGGAGCTGGTCATACAACTAGTAGATAATCTAGAATAGTGTCATGGTGCTGTATGCGACTTACAAGCATGTCTTCAGTGGTCAATTGGGGGTTTGCAATCCATGGTAGGCCGATCCCAAATCAATTATAGGTAAATGATCAGCTCTTGATCCTTTCTGTATGGTCATAAAGTTCGTGCAATGCTGCCAATACAAGGTCTAGATCTGTGTTTACCACAGTGAGCTGTAAGCTAGTTGATCCAGTGGGCCATATAGAGAATGTCTTTTCGTCTTATGACATTAAAGATAACTTCTTTTGAAATTTCCTCAAAAATTTTCCATGCAGGAAATATCTAATTCTTCTAAGGATCAACAGTAGATAATTTCATGTAAAGGAGAAAGGAGAAAAAAAAAGAAAAAGAAAAAGAAAAAGAAAAAGAAAGAAAAACAACTCCGAGAAACTACCTTTCAAATATTTGAGTAATACCCCTCCGCATTCTTCCATGGCAATGGCCCATGAGATGAATTATAACATCCGGCCTTAAACTTATGGTACTATTAAATGATGTTTTGGGAGATCAGGATTGTAGTGGGATATCTCATGTTGCCTTGGCCCTGGTTGAGACTCCTGGAACAGCCTGATGGACCGGGCTGGGTGAATGTGATGCCCAGTTGATCGCCTACTGTCATTAATGAATAGGTTTGCTGCCAGGAGGCGAAGCTTACTGTATGTGCTCACTAGGCAAAGGATAGGCAGATCGAGAAAATATCAGAGTAATAATGATGAAAGATGAAATTGGCATGTCATGCCATCTACCGCACTATTGGATAAATATGGACTAGAATCTGGATTGAAACTGAAAATGTATTATTTCCATGAACGCCACAAACTTAAAAGATGGTGCAATATACAATAATCCTCCATGACATCCGTCAAAAATGGGCATTAGCTATAATCCCTAATCCGATTTTGTCTCCATTAAATTCGGCTCAAATCTTATCCTCTTCAGATGCTGATACCTCGGATCTCCCGGTGCAACCACCATCACCTCCTCATACTTTCCCCGCCCTGCACTCACATCCCGTAGCTCCATCACTGTCGTCAGGAGCAGGATAAGGATTGTTGATGCCTGTGCAACCACCCGCGCCTGTACTAGTTTTTGTGTTTGTGTCATCAATGAATCCCGCCGCAACAGTCCCAAGGTGATCATCATTGTCGCAGCCCAGGTTCCGGCACAGAGTATGTACCGGTGCTCATAAGTCAATTCCTTTATCTGCTGTGAGGGAGCTTCCCTATGCCGTAGGTGCTTGTAGATCTGCTCTGTGGTGTCTGTATATTCAATATCTGGATGTTGGTGGTGTTTAAAGAGATGAGCGGCGTGATTTGCGCCTGCCGCTGTCCCAAGTATCCCAGGATAGAGCGCTAGGGAGCCCTTGATGGACGGAGTAAAGGCCCTAAAGGTGGGGTAGAAGCGATTCAAGGCGCTTACAACCAGTAGTCCTCCAGAGAGACCAGCGAGGCCACCGAGGGAGCCCCAACGCAGGAGGCTATGGTAGTAGGTCTGTGCCTCTTCATGTGTGAAGAGTTTCATTATGCTATGCAGGACACTGTTCTGAAGAGATAAGAAGGCGGATGGACTGGATTTGAATGCACTAGATCTGGTATGGGCTAGCAGCATAGTATTTAAGCCTTACTTTGAGGACTATTCCATTTCAAATTAATAGTTATGGGTTTGGTTCGGATCTCCTGATCTTTTGTTCTGGAATCAAGTGGGCCTGTATTCACTGATATTTTGTGATCCAGCCCATTAATTGATTAATTATGTCTCAGGAGTCAGGCAGTCAGGCTCCAATTCTGTTAATTTAAAAGTGCCCCACTAAAAATATCCATACTGAAGGCATGCATGACTACTCCATATAGGTCATCCAACCCTTACTAAGGAAATCAGGTTACTAAAAGTAGGTCAGCCAATGTGAGAGCACTTAGGGAATGCTCTTAATTAAATAGTAGATAGTGTAATAAGCTCAAACAGACATCTTGGATTCAACTATCTGGCAGCTAAGATACAAGAATTCTAGCATGGAGAAGGGAGGAAAAGAGAAGTAGGGACGGTGCGAGACATTGTGGGAGATAGGTTCGCTAACAGGTGACGGATCAGCGTGACGGGTCGAGATCAAGATCTGGACTGTCACATTACCCCCCCCCTTTAAAAGCGATATGTCCCCATATCGGAGGATTCTGGTTTGACGGATGAGAGGACGAGAAAATTAGCAAAAATAAATGTGCAGAACCCACACCATTCTTCCACATTAGAAGAGACGTTATCTAGGAGGGCTGGAATGCCATGACGCTTCATTCTGTCGTAGTTGTAGGAGTCCGTTGCTCCCAGATGTCCAAGGCCTCGGTGTCTTGCAGGCTCCTAGCCGGTTCCCAGGTTGGTTTCGTATAGCCAACCCATTTAACAAGATATTGGTGCCGGAATCCCCTCCCCCAACGCATTCGGCGTTCGTCCAGGATCTTCTCAATGTCATACTCCTCCTCACCATCGACTAGGACTGCAGGTGGCTGCCAGTCGGACTGCTGCTGGCTTGGAAACGGATCGTTGCTCGCTGGACGTAGCAGCCATGTGTGGAATACGTCATGGATTCCTGGGGGCACATCCAGCCGATAAGCGTGTGATCCCACCTTCTCTAGTACAGTGTATTTCGCATTCCGATGATCCAGCTTCTTCGATGGGCGATTCGTTCTGATATTGCGCAGGCTCAACCAGACCTTTTCTCCTATCTGATACTCATGTGCCGGATCCCGACGTTTATTCGCATACTCTTCCTGCAGCTGTTGTGCAGCAACCATCGTCGATTGCGCAACCTCTAAGGCGCCTTTAATCTTATCCACAATAGATTCAGCCTTCTGCGTAGGTGTCTTCGGTTCTCTGTCGTTGTAGTCACGGTCCAGATCTAATGGCTCCACGTGGTATCCATGATCGAGAAAGAAAGGGCTCACGCCAGTCGAAGTACAATCTCAATTATTCAATGCCAGCATCGCAGCGGGGCATAAGATCGCCCAATTCTCCTGCAGGTAATCCACAAAGGACCGCAGATAGTGCTCGACTTCTGTATTCGCTCGTTCGGTAGACCCGTCAGTCTCCGGGTGCCATGCTGTAGACAGTCGTCTTCGGATGTTCAACAGATTACAGAAGGTTTTCCAGAACTCGCCAACGAATTGCTCTCCTCGGTCTGAGACGATGGATTCTGGGAAGCCGTGGATTGCGTAGAATACTTTCAGAAACTTCTTGGCGACGTAACGTGCGGCTCCCACGTGGGAAGACAGCCTGAAAGGTGTATAGAGACTGTAGCCTTATTCTTCTAAGCTGGACCACTCTTGAGCAGAAGGCTAGTAAGCCTGTGAGGCTCTCTATTTGCTTAAGGGTAAGACTCGTTGCATTGAGGGCAGCTGCGGTGTCTAGTGTGGCGCGGCATAGCTTCTCTTGTGGCAGATGAGCTTCCATCGCAATGGAGTCTATTTAGATTCCTAGGACTGTAATGCAAGTCCCTTGCTTGTCCTTTCTTGTGTTGTGAGGGATGCTTAGGTAGTTGGTTACTATGTGGTAGACTTCGTCGAAAGCACCTGCAGGATTGGACATTGAGGGAGAATGTGTGACAGCGATGAAATTATCTAGATAATGGTTGATGTAAAATACGGGAAGGAGGCACTGAAGTATCCAGTGGAGAGCCTCTGCGAAGAGGTTGAAGAGAAATGGAGCTGTTGCCAGGCCAAAAGGGAGGCAGCATTCAACGTAGGTGGAGTTGTTCCACTGAAAGGCTAGGAGATGCTGGTTGTCCTCGGCAATGGGGACTATTTGGAAGGCATCCTTAATGTCTTGTTTGATAATTGTGCAGCCAGGTCCTGCCTTTATGATCTGGTTGTATATATCATCGATTTTCATGTATTTGATAGCTGACCACTTGTCTGGTATGCCCTGGTTAATGCCTCGCCCAGGGGGCCAGGATAGGTCATGGATGCGGCGCCATCCCCTGTTATGCTTGGGGACAAGTCCAAGCGGCGAAATAAAGGAAGGTTTAGAGGCTAATCTAACCTGACGGAGGACAAGGTCCTCTGCTAGCTTTCCCGTAATAATGCTGGGTTCATGTACATAGTGGTTGGTGGAGTGACAAGAGTGTTTCTTGCCTCTGTAGCCGATCTGGACGCTATAGGTCAGGATGCCAGCAAGAGTTGGTCCAAGATCGCCGGGATAATGACGAAGGAGGTTGCGCCATCTCTATGCATGAAGCAGCGAAGGAGAAGGCTGTAGTTTTAGGAGTTCTGTATTGAAGACAGGGTATTAGGCAACTGTATTGGGCCTTGCTGGTTAGCTAGAAGGTATTTCTGTTGGCGGTAAAAAGTAGGAGGCTGTCCCGGCGTTTTCTCTCCTCACCACTTGATTTGCTTGCTATTTTTTCTTGTGGCAAGATGAGGCACCATGCTTGCTTAACCTGCATATAGTACATTTATAGCGCCTCTTGCAGCCGTCCCAGAGGCACCCTGTTGTGTTGAACTTATCGCAAACCTCTGTATCATTATTTGAGGATCTAGTAGACCTTGTATGGTGAGTTTGGGCTGCTGAAGGGTGTGGTGGTGACTTAGCTGGTAGAGTGAGGTTGTGGCGGAGATATTTCTTGCGAAACTAGGCCGTGACTAGGTAACTGTCCGTGGACAGCTCTCCCTTATCCAGTATATATTGGTGGAAGTTGAGAGCCAGCGGGAGTACTGCTTCTGGCCACTGATAGGTCTGAGTGACATCCAGGATCTGTCTCATAAACATGAGCAAGTTAGGGACGGCCTTAGGGTGCTTGTCACCAAAGAGGTATCCTATGACTGCTAAGTAGGTAAGGAAGCAGTTAGTCCATATTTGGGGGTTAGGACCCCAGTCCTTAAGTGATGATGCTGCCTTCTTGAAGCCTACTGTGCCTCCTGACTTGGTCATCTTGAAGACCCTATCCTCCTGATCTGTATTGATGACTGACTTCTCTTTGAAGTGTATGAGTTCGGTCGCCTTCAACTTCCTCTTGAAGACGCGGGTAAGAAGGGCGGCGGAGACACCCGGGAACATGTTAATGAGCGGTTTTACCTTAGGGGGTGGCTCACAGTTCTCCTCCTGATTATCCTCGTCGACTCGCAGGTCCGCACGAGGCCTCCTCTGGCGGAGGTTGATTTCGGCTTCATCCATCTCAAGATGCCTGGTCCTGTCCCTTTGTATCTGTTCTAGCCAACTGGCGCGGTCCGCCGCGCTCATGGTCTCCCAGATATGGGCCGGGGGCTATGCTGAGTCCTGGGGGACAGGCGTAACGGTGCTGGACTGGCTGAAGGATGTCATCTTGAAGGGAGAGAATGAAAAAATTGAGTCTTGACTGCGTGAGAGATGATGAGTAACTTGCGGAGGCGAGCGGCTAACTCTTGTGAGGCAGTTGCAGGAGGGAGGAACCCCGCAGTAAGCTCTGCAGGTCGGTGAAGCCTAATCTGAGAGAATCGGGAAGCGCCAAGTGTCCAATTAGGATGGCTCAGGGGCCAACTATATATAGGCTGACTAAGTCGGGACGCTAAACCTAAACGGGATGGAATCCTGACACCCCCCCTCGGACCGACTA